AAACAAAATAAATCCAAGTAATCAGATGCAATATAAGTGACGGAAAATTTTGGTAGCCCAAGGTTTAAGCAGCCTTCTCGCTAGACAGTCTCCTACACTGCTATCCGAGTTAGCTGTCGACGACTCAGTGTTGTGCACACAGCGCTGCTGGATAGATGACAATTCCACGAGAGGATAGACTTCAGAGCAAGCTTGGATGTGAGTTTACGAGATGACACTGAGGCATCGTGTGTGGCTAATCAGGTAGATGAATTACACAACAGATTGACGCTTGACCAGTAGTGAGGTTAGTGAACTACCTGGTCAGTTCGAAATCACCTCATTGCGAGCAGGATTTGAACGTGCCTAGGGAAACCGCATCGAGTTTCAAGCTCAGTACCTTAACAACTCTGTCTTTGCGACATCGCACTATCACTGCCATAATACCCATACAGTCAAACAACCGATTATTAACACACACACTCGCTCACATACCCAAGTCACATTGAAACTCACTATCCTCATCTCTGTCCTACACTTACTCCCAATCCTCATCCTCCAATCACCTTGTACGACAAACAGTCCACCAACGTCCACCAACAAAAACACATTCCACACTTCCCATAATCATACACCCATAAACACCAAATACAATTCGCGCATGTAAATAAACGCCAGCACCCACACACATACGATGACACGAGTCTCAGGAGAAGGACGCATCGGTATCTAGAGATCTTCAATCAATCAGACACTACTGAGAGAGTGAGTTCGATTCGTTCAGTAACGAGTACCTTGTGTTTTCAATACAGTGGATTTTACTGGTTCACTTTCCAGTGAAGACAGTTAAATGTGATAGCAGCCATCATGACTGCGAGTTTGTCTATTGACAGTGTGCAGGGTGAATGTTCATTGATGAATCATGCGAAAGCGAATGTGAATGGATACAGGAGGAGACGAGGAGATGGTAAACCTGTCAGTGAAATTCTGTCTCTGAAAGTTTGTTTACGTATCTTCCGATGCATGTTGATGGTGATGGTGGAATGGGAGTGTGGATATATTCTAATTTATCTAGTTTTATTACTTTGAGGTCCGAGTGTCTATTTGTTTATTTTGACTGTAGTATCAATAGAAATGAATAAACATCCTGATTATGGACAACAATCACTATGAAAATGTTTTGGTACCTTTTTAATTAGTAAATGCGTGCAACCTATGAAATGACTAGTAATTCACATAGTAAATTGCAGTTTATAATCAACAATTTCACGAGAATCCAGTATACATTTTTGCCACAAACTGTGTGAACTCAGAAGACCACTCAAACTAAGCAGTACCACACAGACGTTTTCTGCCCACCTGGGATACTTTAGAAGCGGGCACCATTTATTTTACCATAGGTTGATCCCAGAAACTTTAGATTATGGGACTAGCACATTACTATTCATCTATGGGGCTGGAATTCAAAGATTTACGAATGTTTTTCTCTGTATGTATGCGATACACGAAACTACCGTAAATAGGAGAGCGTTCGAAAATCTTTTTTATTCCTAGTTTGGAAATCTTTTGCATTGTACACCTCTTCTATTCTTCCTTAATGGCATAACATTTCTGGTCAGGTCTTCGCAAACTCAGTACATAAAAATAATTCAAAAACTGAAGTATACTGATTCCTAATTAAAATTAAAAAATTAGTGGGACGGGTATACCTTAGCGGAAGTTCTGAAATTCTTAAATAAATAATATAGGAGTTATAATATTTCATAGCGGGTTATATCTAATAAGCTTTCCAATATAGAATTTTACAGGTTATATTATGCTTGCAAAAAAATAGAGTGGTGCGAAAGATAACACTAACTGCTAATTATTTATCAGCTGAATACTTATAAATTAATGTATATGTAAAACTTGGGCACTGTGGTAGTAAGTAATTCCATATTAGTTTGTTTATTAGATGTATCACACAGTGAAACAGTGTTATTTACTGGATGACAATGTTTCGAACAAAATTTATTGGTCATAATCATATCAATTGTAATCACACGACTTCGAAACTTAAATTTCATAGTTTTATTTGGCCTCTCTTATTTGTCGTCGTTTGGGGTAGTAAAATCTTCCAGATATCTGGGACAGGTGTTCAATCATTCCCATTACACGTATTTGCAGTTGATTCGATAAACAAAGCTTCTGTTATCAATCTGTCTCTCCCTCCACCCTGTGACATTAGATTTTAAAACAATCATCCTATCCCATCTTTATTGATTGAATGTGTGCAACTGCATGTAGAGCTATAGCTGAACTATTCTCTAGATTTCTTATCTTATTTGGCTCAACCAATCTAGATTTTGCTAGGTTTCTATGTTCGGCTGGTCTGACTGCCCCTGTTCTACTAGTTTAACCTATGCATTTGACCTGACAATCGTTGTAGGCAGGGTATTAGATAAACTAAATTATTTTGTTTTATTGGCTCCACTGGCGGGATCTTTTAACCGACGAAGCTTCTTTCTAGTTCACTTTATGGGTGGTTTGAATTCCAGCGACTTCTATTCCTGCCTGCATTGTTAAGACTTCTGCGTAAGACTACCGAGGTTCCTTCCTTGTATGGAATTACTGTTGATGATTTAGATTCCTTATTGTTGGTGTCGTCATTAATATTATTACTATCATCACTATCGCTACTCTCATTATTTATTTTATTTTTAGATTTCTCTTCATATTTCCTGACTATTTTCTTCGGATAATTATTAGGTTTCAAGGCTTCTTTTATGTGTATCACTTCTTGTCTAAGATTTTCTTTAGTACTATTTAGTTTTTGTTCTCTGTCACTTAAACATTTTACCAGCCCTATTTTTACTGACATAGGATGGGATGATCGGAAGTCCAAATATCTGTTTGAATGTGTGGGTTTCCTGTAAACACTAGTGTTTAACCTCCCATCTTCTTTCGTTTTTACGTTGCAATTTAATATTGGAAGTTCTCCTTACTGACTTTCCGATTCAAAAGTGGATTGAATTGCTTCTACCTTCGAGTTGATGTGTTTGAAAAATCTCTCTATATCTTCTGTCCTGAGTACAGTGAATGTGTCATCTACATACCTCCACCATACTTTTGGGGTGCAGGTGAACGTTTTAATTGCTATGCTTTCCCACCTATCCATGAATATATCTGCTACAACCGTGGATACTGGTGATCCCTTGGCAACTCCTTCAGTTTGTATATTTCGCTTGGAATTTAAATATTGTGGAAGTCAGGCATAGCTGCACTCCCACCATTATGTCCTCAAGTGGTACTTCTGTCCTAAGTTCGATTTCTTGGTCAGAAATTAGTTCCTTTCTGACTGCCTCTAAAGCCATATTTATTGGTATACGTGTAGATAAACTGACAATGTCAAAACTAAACATTTTTTCTTCATTATCTAATTCTGAATTATTTGATCTGTGTTTTCGATGCATAATAATTGGTTAGTCTAGATTTCGAGTGGCTTTTGAGGGGATTTAATACCATGACTAAATATTTAGATAATTCATAAGTAGGTGAATTTCTAAAATCAACTATGGGCCTAATAAGGTAGCCTGACTTATGAACAGAATTACTTATAAATTAACAAGAAGTCTTTTGCAATAGATTAGAATATAATTTTTATTAGAAAATAGATATGGAGATAATAATTGTCACATTTGTCTAAGTTACAATAGGCGATAATATGCTCTCATTTTCTTCAGAATGTACTTTTAACCTCAATAAGGGTTCATCATATCTAAAAATATGAAACCAAGTCATGGATGTGAATTTTGGTATATATATATATATATAAATTACAGTTTCACTAATGTAAAAATTCTATTTTAAGCCTAGAATAATACTGAAGTTTTTCTACGTACAAAACTGATATCTTAGAATGACTTTAAGAGAGACTAAGTGGAAGAGCAGAATCTCTGTTAACGAGAAGAAGACTTTTCCTGCCGCAACGCCAAGAGTGATACTCTCTAGCCTTCCACTGCTTCTAAGGAATGAGTTCCCGCATATGACCACTGGAGCATATGCATATATCAGTTCACCTTCTCCTTCGGAGTTAGACCCGTGGGTCGTTCTATGCATGTCTTTTCATATCACATTGGTAAATATCATCCAGAATAGCTGCAAAGAGGAGATACTGATTCGGTCAGGAGCACCATTATTGAACACCTTGTCAATACCTGTCACAACTTATCAACTGACTCATTATGCAGAGTCATTTACAACGTAAAAAAAAATCGATCAGAGGCAGTGTGTTTCTGAATTCTTCTGAATTTAAATGTCAGGCTTGTGCATTAAAGAAAGATACTAGTTTAACCTCCCCATTTGCCATGGATCTGGTTCGGCATAACTCCTTATTTTTCGTCTTCTGTGTGTTTTTTTGTGCATTTCCTTCATGTTTCATTTTCAGCTATGATAAACGATTACTTCAATTTGTTTCTGTGTTCATCCCGTGCAAACCTGTCTTCGTTGAAAGCTATTTTATACATCACGCAACTAGTTTCTAATCTTGTGTAATTTAGTTTCTAGGCCCTTCGTAATCTACATTCACACCTTCAAGCTTCTAAATGAAGTTGAAAGTTATTACCACCTTTAATCTTCTCCCTTATCAAGTAGAATTAAGTTAATAATTGTATCTATCTAAACTTATATATGTAAATGCAATTGTACAGCTGCTGTTGAGGATCAAATTGCCAAAAAGATATCTGTTTTCAAGTATTGGTTTGTAGGGATTTGGCTGATGGGTAACAGGTGTTCATCATGAGCTGACATTAGTTAGAGAACCATTGGAAAACCTGGGAGTACTGGGCAGCTGTTTCGTCAGCTTAGTTCGAGACTCTTCATCAGTACGCACCTACCAGAGGGGTTCGAACCCAGGACCTTCTGGTTACAAGGCGAGCTCGTATACCATTAACCCACTGGGACCCGATCCAATGGCCCATGAATTTTAACGTCTGCCAATTCACGATATAGCGCAACCACTAGCCAATGTCTTCGGCGAGTATTTGTCCTCACACCCGACCTGCTGCTTGCTGAGCTACTTGTTCTATTACCTGGTGAGCATTTTTCAGGGTCTGAAAATAACCCTCTAGTAATTATTCTCCGCTTCTCTTATCTATCCGTTTAAAATAATGAATAGTTTTAAGTCCCACTTGCATATAGATATGTATATAGAAACTGATGGTTGTCGAAGGTTTCAACTTACAAGCTATTCCTCTTGCAGTGATCCTTTAATGAGGTATTTTGGAAAAATATGATAATAAGTAATATTAATTGAAAAGTGATGAGGAGTATGTCTTGTTTTGGAAAGTTTTACACCTTTTTAACACGATATCTACTTGTTTATGTATAAATACATAGGCGTACATACATACATCATGTGCAGACTATTTGAGGTCAACAGGTAAATGAATTTCAAACATTAAAGTTATATTTATATCAGAGGAAGCATTATATCAGGCACAGTCACTATTCTATGAAGAACTCTCTAAACGTGACTAATTTTCATAAACTGAGTCAGCTTAGATCCGCATATTTAGCTCAAACACACTGAAGTTTGACAGAATTCACAAATAACAACTCGGTTGACATCTTCTTTCATTCACTTACAGTTTGAAATTATGTTGCTGTAGATCCAACTAGGACTGACCTTTCTTCATCTGTTTTCAACTAGTAAACGATTAAAAAGTTCGGTGTTTATTTCAACAGAATGATGTATTCTGTGTTGCTCACTCCGTTGATGATCAGAGACGTCCTTATGAAACAGCTTTTCTGAGTTTATTGTGTGTGATCAGGTGTAAATATTTACTGGGCAAATGAAATTTGAATTTACACTAGGCACATCTGCGATTTACTGAACATGTACGAGATAGCCGACGGCTCAAAGAAACAAACACTTTCGATATTGCAATCACTGGGCATCCCGTCAATAGGGATCATGAGGCAGACATTGGGAATCCCTTTAAAATTATCAGTAGACAAATTATCTCAATTGTCTTCAAGTCTGACGACGCCTGAAAAACAATTTACACATTCAGAAAGAAGCAGTTGTCAGTGTTTCCTAGCTCTGATAACTGAATATCTTTACTGCCTATTTCATTTGATGATGTAATCTTTGAATTTAACCTCTTCTCCTTTTGATGTCTCTTGTCTCTTTTTTATGCACGACTTAAACTGGACTCATCATATTGTTTTTCAGCTTATGAGTTACTCATCTTTTTATTCACCTTTTGTGTTTATCACGCAACTCTTTTCCCAGTGTACATAAGGCACATAGATGATATGCTTCAGGAGAAAGACTAGGTTATATGAGGCATTAATTAATTTAAATAATGTTCAGATTTTTAAACGCACACCTTCATAAAGTTTGCACAAATATGATACTTTGGACCATTGCGTTGAAAACTTACTCGAAAATATAATAAAATGGACTATAATTTGATTCATTTTAAATAAATTAAAAGAAGACAATCAATTTAGTTAGGGATTCAAAACGTGATTGATTGTAAATCTTAAAAATAATAAAACCACCTGTCAAGTCATATCAAGGAATACTAGAAAACATACTTTACTATCCATAGTGGAATCCTGAAGTGTGGAAAATAAGAAAGAAAAACCACCATTTGTTTAGTTATGCTTGTAATAGCGCTGGCTTACTTTGGAGTAGCCTTATTTATGAGATGTCAATGAAAACCTACTTCAAATTTCTGTAATTTAACCAGATAAATTAACCGTTATACTCAGCATGAGGAGGAAATTTAGAGCCTTCACTGACAGTATTCACGATTTTGCAGTTTACATAGATAAACTATTGATGACCATGACTTTTTGGATCAAATAATATCAGCATTTTTAGTTTTTTTTGTGGATGGTGAGTGGCAGTGGAAACCAAGATACACATTCGTCCTTTTTGGGACTTGTCATCTAGGTCTACTTGTGCTAATTGTCCCACTGGCACTCGAACCCAGAACGCATCGTTTTAAACGCCAAGGCGCCGTTCAATCAATCAACGTAAAAATCAAGATTGAATTAAAAATAAATTACACTAACATTTTGCTACAGAATTTCCTTACGGTTCACTCAGTTTACTTTAAGCATTCTTTCATGGATAAAGCATGAATGAAATGCAGTTAGGACACCAGTATTATATCTAAACGAAACTTACATAGGTGCAGAATTAAAACTGAAGATAAAAGTGTTTTCGATGAGATGTCAGATTTTTATAGCAATATTTTTTTTACCGTTAGAAAACAACAAATGTTCTACTGACTATTTTTAAGGAGGTAAATAAAACAGTCCTTTATGGGATTTGAAAATGAGGAAAATTGCATTGTGAATTTCGTTACTAGCAGATATCGTCTAGAGAGTCATTGAAAATCATTTAGGACTGAACAGCTGTTTACTCCTGTGGCAATGCACCCTGATGACTGAACCAAGGATTGAACCTAGAGACCTTGAGGTTACTAGATGAACACATTATCATCCTGCCAACACGTTTGAATTTGGTGACTCAATGTATTCCAGATGCTGTCAATTCACGAATAGGTATTTCCAGGCTAGATAGTTTTCATTGTACTATGGTTTCATATAGTAGTCTTGAAGAAAGTATTCTTCTCTTCGACTATTTGAAAAAAAACTAGCACGCTGCAATAACTTCATCATGTGCGAGATGATATGCATCCACATGATGTGTGTTTTGTTTTTGACAGTCTGTTATATTTTGCTATGTGTATATGGATCGATATTCCATTATAACTGACATTATGCTTCTGTCTGTTCACTAACTAAATAAACAATGTATGACCTTGTTATCACATGACATTACAACCAAACATGTTAAGACTGGCTGTTTATTGGTTCATGTGTATTAGTAATTTTCATACATGCTTTTGTACTGTATTCTTGTTCACACACTTTTTCGTACGCTAAGTACCCTTCCACTCACACACTTATGTGACATTTATTTTCCTTGTCTGGAAAATACAAGTATCATCGTAAACCTCAGCAGCAGTACATAACACGCAAAGATCCAGTTAATGAGGAGCAATATTTAGTGGCCAAGAAGACCTCCTACAATCCTTTTTAGAATGTTTGAAAAGTACCAACAGTTCTTTAGGTTTCGAAAGACTGATACCTAGCTGGCATATTTGTCCCATTTATCCCATATTTATTATAAGAAGATAGGACATTAAACTGCTTTATCGACTTGAATGGTGGGTTTTAGTTTGTTCTTATTTATCAGATTGACTTTGATGAGTAAAACTCTTCCTAGTTACACATAAAAAGTTTATTGGTTAAAAATGAGCTTACATCTCAGAGAGTGCTTCTTCTGGACTTCTATTTAATACAAAAAGAGACAAAAATGCATAATATTACATACTTAGATCCAAGATACATAACTTGATATTACTTTTCTTCCATATAGTTTCTCAATATCTTTACATGTACGATACTCAGTTACAATAAGCACAGCAAAACGAATCATTCTACTGACAGCATACCAGTTGGCTGTCATAGTATATCTAGTGCACATTTTAACTCTGAATGTGCTGGGAGAATGTTACGAATTAATTATGCCACAACAACCTGGAGAGAATAAACGATGCTCTGCATGCTAAATTCCATTTGAAACAAACTGCACTCAAGAAAGTAAACCATGCTCCACAGATTATCATCGAAGAAAGCATCGAGTGACATTCAGATGTCTGCTTCAACTTCATCGACTTTGATAAGGCCTTTGACAGCGTTGACTGTAAAATTATTCGCAAACTGCTACGGTACTGCAGCATTAAATGCTGCAAACTATATGAGCTCAAGGAAACAGCTATATGATGATGCTACTCGTCAAGTAGTTTACAACGGAAAACTAAGTGAAGTTTCTGAAGTGGGCACAAGTGTAGACAAGGCCGCTTCATGTCACAGACGGTATTCCTAATTGTAGTGGACTGGACCATTTAGAAGACTATAGGCAGCGAGAAGTCAGTATGCTGAACTGGTAAGACGATTAGAAGATTTGACATTCTCAAACAATTTAAGTTTAGTAAGGCATAAACTCGAAGATCTATGGACGAAAACCAACAAATTGGTGGAAGAAGCAAGCAGTTATGAAGGAAATTCAAGTGAACATATAGAAGACAGAGGCGATGAAGATGCCTAACCAACAAAAGGTACCAGCTACCATCGACGAAGTGTCTGGGTAACATAATACCAGCTACAGATGACACAGGTGAGGATATGAAAGGTAAAAGCGAGAAAGCAAAACAGAAATTCATTATTTTGAAGTCAGTGTGGAAATCTACACCATTCAGAATGAGGAAAAATATTTGAATTTTCAGTATTAATGTCGAGAACGTCAGGGCTACTCTATGGTTCAGAGAATCGGCATGTCATTAAAAGCATTTCGAACAGGCTACAGACCTCAGTCAACAGCTTTATTCTTTGGCTTCATACTGAAGGTTGGGATATCAGCCAGAAGGGATTAGCAATAAGAAATTCTGGGAACAAAACAATCTATTGCTCAATAAATATGTGGAAGTAAATGGAGACGGGTAGGACAAGAGCTGAAAAGTCAGTTAGATGAAATCGCGCGACAGGCGATTGGTCAAGTGGAACCTGAAATAGAAAAGATCACTTGGGTTGGGTCCGAGGGTGACATGGAGGAGATCATGTATGGAGGAATTGAAAGTTTATGAGGAATCAGGGAGCCAGATAAAAGTGGCTCTAGAGAACAGGATAAAGTGATGTGCTGTCGAAGCTCTATGTTTCATTTGAAACCGAAAGGAATAATAATAAGGAAATGCAGAAATGTTGTTAACTGTGGGTCATTTCGCTTTTGACCACGTAGTTATTCAACAATTTGACACGAAGACCGAAATACAAGTATTACGCTGATAAACCCTCATGAAATTCACCAGTCTGTACACTGGAGAAATTATGTTTAATCACGACTGAAATTAGTTACTAACTGTTAAAGTGAGCAACTGCTTAGTTTAGGTATTCAAGCGATCACAACCTTAATTTTTCACTTAATGAAATATTCCTTACATCTAAAGGTATTACTTTATTCAAGTAACACTATTGATACTCAACCGTCGGTACCGCTAGTGGGTGAGTGCACCTCACCGATATGAATACGAAATACACCACCAATGCTTTTCTTAGGCCAATTTTACACTTTTGTGACCTTATATCCACGTTGAAACTTGTGGGAATTCTTTGTAAAAGATACATATCATGTGATGACTGTATCACTAGATATTAGAACGAAAGTAATAAAATTATTTATTATTATTACTGCTCCTTTGGATTCTGAGTGGAATAATGGGCTTCAGCAACACATTTCTGCTATGTTCTATTTTCTGCTATCCTCTTTAGCTGGGCCAACGATCGCCTATAATCTCTCATTTCCTCCATGTCACTGTCGCACTGACAACCCACTTGTCGTTTCCCATTCAACTTCCACTGGAACAATGAACTAACGCCCAATGTCATTCGATGGTCTCCTTCGTGTGTGTGCCCTATCCATCTCAATTTTCTCCTGCATATTTCTTGAATGACAAGTTCTTGTTAAGTTTGTTCCCACAGTTTCTCGTTACTGATTCTTTTTGGCTATTCAATCTTCATAATGGTGTAGTGAAGACAGCTGCGGATAAAAATCTGCAATGATCAGTTGGAAATGCTCTTCATAATGCTGGCGCAAAGTTTCTGACTCAAAAAAAAGGACTGACTGAACTGGTATTGGTGTCGAAGATCCAAATTTTGTTCCTTATACTGAGTAAAAAAGATTTCCAAACCGATCTCAGATTGATAAAGATATACCTTGCTTTTCCAATTCTGGCTAACTTTGGCATCTATATTGGTGCAGTGTGCCTGTGGTTGAAACGATGTTTACTAGATAGATGAAGGAAGTAACCTGTTTTGGATTTTCCGCGCTAATAGTGATTGGCGCTGTTGGTTGGCTGGTAATCTTCACCACCTCAGTCTTTTCTACATTCACCCGTAGTCCTGACTTCACTGCCTACTTCTTCAACTAGTTTGTTGTTTTTCGCCTGTGAGTTTTCGAGTTTGCTTGACATTAAACAAAAATCATCCACGCATAAAATCTTGATCATTTAGAGTCTTCTTATCAATCCAACGTATTCCTCTCTCTTTTTACTTCACACAGTCTGACACACAATCCAGCCGATTGCAATCAAGCATGTCGTCAGTGATAGTAAGTAACCTTGTCTTACTGCATTCTGTCTTCACCTCAAAAGCTTCTCTGAGTTATCCGTTATAGTTCACCTGACACGTGGTATTATCATTTGGCTGTTGAGTGAACAACAGTGATAAAAAAAATCATACAACAATATTTTCAGTCTGTGCCATTTTTTATATAAACACTCGCAGTTTAGTACAATAACCTACTCCTCTTTGGCAAATTGTTTACTGAAGCAAACAGAGATTATAAGTAAAACCATTTGATGTGGCTCAATTAAATTAGGCATTTAGCTTTCATTTTAAAAAATAAGTAATTCTGATCATGGATAGTTTTAATCTAAAGGTATTTTGTAGCTAGATGACCCCTTCAGTGTTCTCAAAGTTGTTTAGCTCACAAGTAATAGTTGACAGAATACGATTTTCTTCAATTACTATTGGTAATAATATAATTATGGTTATATTATTCCCTTGAGCTCCAAGTGGAACATAGGGAGGGCTTCAGTAGCACATATGATACTTTAGAATTTGTAAGTTACATCTGAAATCGGTCATTTTATAATAATAAAGTGAATGAAAGTACCTCTGAAAATTTGATAGTGAACAGGTTTTTTTAATCTACAGAATTTGATATCTATGAAAGCTTAGCAAAATCTTCCTTTAATTCCATATCCTAATCACTGAATTATAGTTTGCTTGATATGCACAACTGAGTACTTTGAAAGTACAAAAAAAAATTCAGTACCTTAAGCTAAGCGCGTTTCCCTGTACCACTAAGGAAGTCGACTAGCAATAGGTTAATAGAAGTGAAGAATAAGGACATTTCCTTTTCATTCTGTTTAACTAATCTGTGTACTCTTCCTTTACTAGTACTTAGAATTGTTTCCCCCTGTCATTTCATTTATATCCCTTAATAATCCAACTCGGGTATGCATTTTGCTATGTAAAATTGTGTCTTAATAAACTTCTCATATTTACGGGTAATGTTTCTTTCCCCTACTAAACGTATTAGTTTTACCCTTTCTCTCTATGATATACACATTCTATCTAATGTATTGCAAAACCTCTTTTATAACTTGGTTTTCAGCTGTAATTGTAATCAGTGATATTTTATTGTGATTCATTTTATTACTGTCATTATTAGTTGTTGAAGTTGTAGCATTTACACCTCTTTTTGGATTTCCTCATGGGATGAAGTATTTAAAAAGAAACCACATATATACACATTCGATTGCATAGCTTGATAAGAAAGTTTCTGAAAGCTGTCCCTTCACTAGATGTTGTATGTTTAGTGTTACAAGTGAAATTCACAGATTTTATACCGCAAATTCGAGTGAGAGTCATTCAATCAATTAAGCATTTATAAAATATCTTGATATGGGGAATAAATTTGGTAATATTTGGTAGCAGGATTGTTTTCGGCAAACCATATATACCTTGAAGACAAAGTGTTCGTATCCGTTTTATTTTGCCTTTATTTAATGTTTTTTATATTGAGTGATTCACAAAGATCTTCAAATTTTCCTGTCCTCTCAATCAAATCCGTTTCTCCGCTACTCAAGATTGTTGTAAACGACATAACAGACAGTTTACTGACTGTAAGTTCTTCCTAGCAGCGCATGCCACATCCGTTCCCTCGACACAAAAAGTTGTACAAGAAGTCACTCTAACCTTTTCGGTGCTGTTTGTTCTTGATATGTCTCAGTAGAAACTTCTTTAGCTCACTACATCCATCTCTTAAGCTGACTAGCGTTAGGACATTTCTACTTGTCTCCTTCTATGATGTGGTATAAATAGTCAGTTGAATTCAGTAGTGCAACTAAGTAACATGAAGTGTTCTTAGCTTTTATTTTAGCCTAATGAATGCGGTTAGAACTCTGTTGAAATATACATATATTAGATAAACTTCTTATCTGGAATCTCAACTATTCAGTATAATTCACTTCAGTACGAAATAGTATGAAGACCGAATTAATAACTATACAAAAACTACTTTCAACTGAAAGCTTGACATTTTGTGATGCTTCAGTCAGTCTAGAGTTTATTTATTTTATCGTTTATGATGAAACTCATGAAGTCATAAAATATCTTGAGCTTACTGTGGGAAATCTGGAAATTGACTAGATGAAACCATAAAAGCATAATATAAAAATCCAGTTGTTTGCAATTCATGAAATTAGCTGACATTATACTTCATTGAAAAAATTAAATTCTCTTCTTCATCTCACTAATCATGATGGTCTTCAAAAGTCAAGTAGTTATCACCTAGGGAAACAAACGTATCTGTTTAACATTATAATTTTCATATAAACCACACTTATCAAGACTTTTAGCCTATTTGCATTATTTTTACGCTAGTGCACCACCTTTACTTACGGTGGTGCAAATGCTATACCTTCTTATGATGCAAAATTCATCTCTTCTATCAACAGATAGAACTCTGCAAAGGTAGGGATTATTTTAACAGCCACATTATAGTGAGTGAGCAAATACCCACATCATCTGGGGAAAAAAACAGCAGAGATCAGTGAATTTTAGGAATAAAGGGTTATTACTTCCCTAGATATAGAATGCAGAAACCACTTTTAATGTCACACTTATATGTTGTAGGAAAACGTACTCATCGTATTCTGGTATATGGTTTCCTGTAGGACTGTAATTGCAATAATAATAATAACAATAATCATAGTTGTATTCTGGAAAAAGTGTTCATATACGGCGCACAATTCTCAGTGTAATTTATTGCATAATATGTTCGCTTCATTTAGAGTCTACAAGTAAAATAGCAAACTAGAGTATATCATATGGCACGATGCTGATTGCTCTGAAGTACAGGCTAATTCTTTATGACATTTCTTCTTACTCCTCGAGAAATGCGCATCAGTAGTTTAAAAGACAATTAAAAATATGCATGAGCAGTTTTTCTCACTCAAGTATATAGTTAAATTGTCGATACGATTCATTATTGTAAATGGAAATCCAGGTAGCCGATTGATTCAAACAGGCCGCCAAAATGCCTAGGTCGAGTGAAATTAAATTTGAGCTAAGCACAACTTGCCTAATATATTTTAATGTTCTGACATAATGCTGGATATTACTGACTAAACAAATGGACATCCAATGTCTAGACTATACATTTAAATAGTCTACAATTACTCATATTATTTAGTTCTTTGCTGTTCAGTAAAAATTCGGTTTGTAACAACATATATATGTATATGATTGGAAATCAGTAGCTGAAGTAACTTGTTGACTCGAGTAAATCCTTACAGTTATCTGGTTGTCAAGATTTTGCTTTAATCTAGAGTTGTCTAGTTAATAGTGAATAACAATGGAACACGATTTCAACCAAGCTTCAGGCCCGTCTCCTGGATGTATCTAGGATCAACGCAACTCAAACCCGGCAATCTTCATATTGAATGCTGAAGCGTTATCCATTAATTCGTTGGGCTACGACAGCCATAACGAATATTTCAGTAAATATTCACCAGTCTAGCGTTGTTGTCCTTCAGCTGTGGAGTAATAATAAGCATTTTATAATCCAATGAATTTGTTTAGTCATTTTATGACAGCTACAGAAGTGTATAAATGAGAGAAATACATTTTACTTACTTTAGTTTAGGAACTGGTTTTCTGGAAAAGAACGATTAGTACAGCAATCATGAATATTTTATCATTTTGTACAAGTCTGTTTAAGACCTGGAATACCTAAACACTTCATCATTATACTTCATATAATTTCTTTTGTTCATCTTGCCTTAATTTATTAAAATGTGACCTCTAATGGTATATTTTACTCTCATGAGTACAGGGAATGTCTACAGCCTTTTGATTTGCAAAATTTCTCCAAACCTAATAAAAAGTAAAATTGTGATTGTACAAACTGGCGTTGCTGAAGATATAAAAATCATTACTAGTAGTCTTCATTTATTTAGCTATTATTATGCTTTTGGGTCAAAAATTTTCCCTGGCTCCTTTTTCAAATGACTTTCATCTAGAGATGATAACATGAATAAGACAGAATATAAGGTGTCTACTGTTAAACCATATAAGGAGGGGACATCTGAGACCCCATGTAGGATTCTGAATAAAGCAGGAATTAGAGTGGTATTTAAACCTACAAACTCACTCAGGGATAAGCTGTGTAAGTTAAAGGACCTTGTAGGTTGACCCAATTAGACAAAATAATATAATTTACAAAATACCTTGCGATGACTGTGAGCTAAGTCAACTATATAGGTCAAACTAGTAGGTCGGGGGGTAATCAGATTGTCAGAACATAAGAATTTAGCTAAGGTAAGAATGGTTGACCCCAAGAAGATAAGAAATTTAGAAAAAAGCTCAGCAACTGGAATGCATGCAATAACACACAACCGCACAATGTGTTGGGAGAGGGTTAAAATTTTAAGAATTGGTATGGGTAGATGGAGAGAGAGGTTGATTACTGAATCCTTGTTCATCGAGTTTGCAACAAACACATACGATAGGAATGACTCATCACTCAAACTGGAAATATGGAGAATACTGGTACCAATTAAATCAAGCGATGGAAAATAATGCGATTATAAAAATGAAGTTAGAAAGTTGTGTCAGTACCTTGGTATGATTATGATCGGCAATAAATTGTGCTCGAAACGTTATCAATAAATAATAATGTATAAAACTGTGAGACTTCATCAAAATAAATTTTACCCATAATGGAATTATACTCTACCACAGTGCACAAGTTTTATTCTTATATAAATACTGTGTATTTCTCAAAGGAGGTAAAGAAGAAGTATCATAAGAGATTGGTTTGCCTGTCAGGTAAGACAACAGTGTGTCTGACGATTTACTGTCGATTACTATTTTACTTGACAGTCCTGGACAAAGAGAAACTATTATGGAATAATTTCCACCGAAAATTCTTCACATTATTTAAACATTGTTAAGAATAAATGTAACACTACTATAGTGTAATAGCGAAGATTTGTAGATCAGTTGGATGATATGCAATTAGTTGTGTTCTCTGAGCTGATTGGTTTAATTGAGGAGCAATTATTATCAGAAGTGAAAGGATTAATGTGTGACATCAAATCAAGTGAACAAATAATAACAACTGAAAATATACTTGGTGTAATCCCTATATAAACTAACGACTGTTAAAATAGGGTTCACTGGCATTGTGGTTTCGTTCAATTGAAATGAATAGGCGAAAAATGTTCATTTCTAAAAGCTTAAAGTCATTTCTGGCTTAAGGAGTTTTACTCTTAACATATATTTTGAAAAAAGTTTCAAACTGTCAGCGCCCTGTCTGTTACAAATAAATTAATGAATCTGTTACTATCTAACAAAAAGTTAATCGCTTTCTGAACAGTTTTGCAGTAACTTCCTTAACTGTTGTGTTGGATGGCGTGGATTCGAAACTCTAAGGAGATATCGGTTCCGAAATTACCAGTATTTATCACAAATAAGCTTCATACCTAGGTTCTGGATATCCTAGCCATTGTCTCAAACCGCCTAACACTGTTTAATAATTTGATGGCTAGTTCACGTTTAAAAATTAACTTTTTATTCTGTTAATGAATTGAAATAACCTCGCTAGCGGGTAGTCTGACTAGAAAATATGGGAGGGACTGACAAATCTGCCGCATAAAAACAGCACCAGTGTCATTGGAACGTCACTGTTTGAGGCAGTTTACATACAAAGAAATAAAAATGAAGAAAACCAAAAGAACGCGAACATGTTAGTTTGCAATGAAGAATTTTATTACAAGTATTTACAGGTCACTGTTGTGTTGATGTAAACATGAGATGACAGTTAATTACTTTTGAGAACTTACTGTGCAGGCGCAGCAGTAGGCCTATGTATTCAACAAATGATATTTTTTTCTTGATCGTGAGTTACTAGTAAATGCTGGAAATTTATACTACAAATTATTTATGGAAAGTATTTTGTACACGAAGGTGTAATTTGACAAATTAATTACTCAATTTCAAATTCACTAAATAATATTTTGATAACTTGACAGTGAACGTTCACATTCTTTTGGAGTTTGAGTTCATTTCCAACAATCACTTAAGTATAAACCTCGTGACAATCAAATTCGTATAAACTCCTATCAGAGTTAAGAGAATGTTCACATTACAAAATTTGATACCATAATCCTATTTATTTTTAATAATAATAATAGTAATAATTTGCTTTATTCCGAAACAGTACTTGTGATACAGAATGGAATTTTCAGCATTTTACTACAGTATTGCATCCATTTGGTCCATTAACAATAAATAAAATTCTACATAGATTAAGGGTAATCTCAGTTCGTTTTGACAACAACATATTGGCATATCAGTAGCAAAACCAAAAATTGAACAGTGTTTGAAGGTGTTAGAAAAGTAGGTGCTAGCATATTTACTGGCGTAAGCAGAAGAAAGAAACAAAGCTGCACATAACAGAGAAAAAAGAGAGAAAAGGAAAAGAGAGAAAAAAACGTTGTACCTATAAATGATATGAGTTGGAAAGACGACATCCAGTTGTTCTACTGACTATTTCATAAATTGTAGGTATCACGCCTAATGCTTTCTTTATCGCACAGAACACGAGCTAAGTAGGGTATGGTTGAGTTTTTGAACTTGCTAGTGCGAACATATAGTTTTCTATATAGGCTTGTGGTTGTGCTTGATGAGATACAAGGGGGGGAGTTGTGGATGAAGAGGGTGGTGTGAGTTAGATAAAATGGATTTTGTCCATTCTTCACATGAGTCCATGTGCCTGTCGACCAGAATATTAACAATCTGGTTAAGTGGCCCACTGTTTACCCTGCTGATAACTTTTAAAACCCTACGTAATAAAATATAGTCCTTCTTCATTAGCCCAAGAAAAACTAAGGGGGAACAATAGAGAATAATGGGCAGGATGCAAGAGTTAACGAATTGTAGGAGTAAGGGTTTGGTTATACCAGAATGTCTTAACTTCTTTATGTAGAAGGTAAGACGGAATATTTTCTTAGAAATAATCAAGATATGAGACAATCAGGAAGGAACAGCAGATAGAATGACGCCTAGGTATTTAATTTCTCACTTGGTTTCTATTTCAGTGGCATCTACGTTGCACACCTCGTGAGTGCTAACCAGTTTGTTTAGGTCAGATTTGTGCCTAAAGGTAAAATTGACTGTTTGGCATTTAGAGGGATTTAAGTTGAGACCGTTTTCCTTGGACCACTGGCTGATTTCTGATAAAAAGCCACTTAGTTTGGAGCAGTCACCTTGAAACTTGACAGGCAAATATACACTCAGATCGTCAGCATATTTGACAAAATTAATGTCATTTGAAGATGGTAGGTCGTAGGGAAAGAAAGAAATGAGAAGTGGGGAGAGTACGGCACCTTGGGGGACACCAGCTTTAGTGAGCACAGCAGAAGAGGATTTACCTTTGTATACGGTATACTGCATTCATGAGTTGGTTTGCTATGTTTCAAATCTGAACACAAATTGATATCAGCCATGAAACTAATGGAAACCAGGGACTACTGGATAGGCGTTTCGTTCTAGTTTGAGACTCTTCAGCAATATGCACCCGCTGGAGTTCATACCAAGTACCTGCCAGTTACATATTCAACACATGAATTTATCTGCATATCTTCATGACCTTACAATGCCAAGTGTTATTAGTTGATAAAGATGTAGTCAAGAGAAATTTATTATTATTGCTATTATATTCGTCTTCCAGTGTTGTGAGAATATAGAGTCTTTGCTTCCTCCTTGAGTATTCAGTAATTGAGAGATTGGATAGTCAACAATTAACTGAAATCAATGAAGTTTACAAGAGTCACATTGTCATTGGTTCTGTTTGAATTTTCTCAGTTATTTATAAATACTGATTTATTCTTCATGTTCAAGAAAGTCGTTAAACCACTAAACCTGCCTAATAATATGAAAAGAATGATGGTAGCTTTTATCAATTTTGTGTAATTTGATTGTAAATTAAACGAAACGGAAGAAATTCATCCATCGAACACCTGTCAGTTAACTCGGCAACAGTTCACCTCATATTTCGTGAAATACTTCAGATGATATAACGTCACAGGCGGCTTTGTTTATATTCTATTTTGTTACTTTATTGTTAGAAGCTGTACAGCTGGATAAAGTAGGCGCAAACTCAAATGCCTATCAGTTTTCTTTATCAAGGAAGATTCCGTATTTCCAAATGAGTGGAAAAATAAACAAAACGATGTTGTTTCTGGTGAAGTCTTTCTATAAAAAGCTGCTGACAGATTTAGGAAGAAGTAGTGCTAAACCGAAATTCAAAAAATTTTGGCTCAGATGCAGTAACTTGATCACAGTTCTTCAGCATGAGAATCATCACACTTTAACAGGGCAGATGTATGTAATATGTCTCAAGTCTTCTTTGACAAGCACACTGTTTGATAACAAATGGTAAGGAAGAATGCACAGTAAGTACTACTGAAATTCTCAAGGAAAAAACTACATAAAGAACTTCATTTTCAAAATGGACAACAACAATAAACATGACCAAAACGTTAACCGATGACATGAACTTCAACAGCTTTCATTTCAAATATATCAGATACGTTAGATGATATTAGGAGAGTACTGAACATATGTAATACCAGAGTTTTTTTTATTTAAACACCAGACGAACTATAAAACAATCTTGTTCATGTGAAAGACCGAATTTCAGAAGAGCTACAATCTAATTGTGTATAGAACTAAATTCTTAGAATGTGATGCCATCTACATTGAACAGATCTCGTAAGAAATCAAAACTAGAACAAATGAACCATGTAGAGCCATCTTTTTGACCACCAAGAAATCAAGTGGAACTAGAAAAGCTTGAAAAGTCATTAGCCATATGCCTAAATGCTACTGAATGAGATAACAGAATTGATGCTGATAATATTGAAATCATTGGGAAAAATCTCAAAAATCACAAAGAACATCTTATATCAGAAGGTCTCTATATTCAGTGGAATCGAGAGTGTCTGAATAGAAATGATGAATTAAGACAGAATTCGACAAAGTTGTAAAGATCGTCCTCATGTAATCACAAAATCAAAACGAATGTGATGAGTGACTTCACTGTGTAAACGAATACACTTTTTAAATCCAACAGTCTGCAGATAGTTTATTGTCCTTAACAATCCATCCACTAGACAATGTAAAATTTAAAATTACCCCATATTGCAGAGCTACTGTATATGAGCTGAGATTATATAAATTCTCGTTTAATATTACTTTGATATTGCTATTAGCTGCATTAAATAGTGAGACGTTAGTTAAAAGGATATCGTTTTGTTTCTCATTCAGTCATTGAGAGAAGCAAAGATGGACATAGGTGTGTCATTACTGTTCACTGATAATCCAAAATTTTAGGGTGAAATTACAATAAATTCACCACAAAACAATTACAACATGTTTTCCTAACGGCACTTACTGCATTACATATACTTCTATTAAGAAAGAAAATCATACATATTCATAAATGAATATATAACTGGTTTTTCCTTATAAACATAGTAATTGGGCACAATGGTAGAGTACAACTTGATATGATTATAAGCAATAAATTGTTTTCGAAATGTCATCAGTAAATACTACTGTAGAACACAGTATGACTTTATCAAATAAATTTTCTCCATGGATTATTATTTCAAAAAATAATTTTCACTTCCTTCATTAAAAAATTCACTCAATATTTTTATTTATTTGACTTATATTAGCACTAATGGATTTATGGCCCCTACTGGTTAATTTTGTGCGTCAGTAGCTCAGTGATAGAATGCTTGCCAACCACGCAAGTGGTTAGGCGTTCGATTCCCAGCCGACGTACTCTTTTACCTCGTAATAAGGCTGGTTAAAAGGAAAGGTTGGGTATGAGGCTAGCAACCTTACCCAGTAAGAATAAACACCACTGCTACCGAAACTTTAACGCTATAGCTGCTTGTAACGTAATCAGTCGGGACGCTCACTTATTTCTTCACTACATATTCTTCCAAAATTATCCATTACATAATCCATTCTTTTTGATTTTCGCAATTACTTCTACTCTTGAGCTGTTGTATTATTTTTTTCCTGGTCAACTAGCGGCCCCCTTGAAATGATGATACATACTTATTATTTACAGGATTTCATAATGAGCTGACATTAGTTAGAGAACCATTGGAAAACCTTGGAGTAATGGATAGCTGTTTCGTCCTGGTTTGGGACTCTTCAGCAGTATGTGCCCACACCACGCGGTTCGAACCCAGGACCTTCTGGCTACAAGGCGAGCTTGTATATCATTAAGCTACTGGGACCCGATCCAATGGCCGATGAATTCTAACTTCTGCCAATTCACGGCATAGCGCGACAGCTAACCAATGTCTTCGTCCAGTATTTGTCCTCACACCCGACCAGCTGCACCCTACTGGTCACGACTTCTTACTAGAACCCTAGGTAACGAAATAGCTGTCCAGTACTCCCAGGTTTTCCAATGGTTCTCTAACTAATGTCATCTCATGATGAAATCCTGTAAACCAATCAAATCCCTACAAACCAACACTTGAATACTTATTATTGTTTACGAACTTATCACCATGAAACCATCAGATCAATTTTCAAAAATACTCACTTTGTCCATTTATTGAATAGATAGTGGAAACTATACAGACGACAGCAAAATATACCGCGAGGAATTTCATAGTCTGTTATTCTTTGGTGACTTTAAAAAAAAATGAGGCTGTCAGAGGTATTCTTCCTCATATATATACATGTACACTTATATGTACACTCTACCCAGAACTAATTAAACCTAATCAGTGTGCAAGCTGTAAAAATAATTAATAACAATAAATAACTAACAGATTTAAACACAACTTTGCCAAATAAAATAATATTTACTTTCTCTGTCTACGTATTTCACAGGGTTTGCACTGTAATCAGTAATTTGATAGGGGAGAAACATAAATTTGAATTCTAATGTCAACATTAAAAAATACTTTTTTTGCCTAAACGGTTTACATTCTTCTCATTTGCTAACATACAGTCTATATGTTCTAATAGTGTTTTAAAAAATCACGCCTAGCATCTGTCATCTTCAAATACCTCAGAAATAATAATCTTATAGATAATAGCTTTATTCCATACAAAAGCCTTCAGCAGTATGTGGGAGTTCCAATGTAGTTTATTGCATAAGATTTTCTCTTCATTCAGCATCTTTAGGTAAAATACCAAACTATGCTATACTATGTGACGCAGTACTGTTCTTTCGTTGCCATGAAATGCACAGTATTAACATGAAAGCTAATTAAAATTATGCCTGAATACCTTTGATAACCCATGGACGTAACTGAATGGTTAAAATAAAAATAAATAGACAAACTTTCATGTATTGTATGAGATGTGAATTCAAATGTTTCACTGATTCAAGCAGATCGCGGTCCATTATCAGCCATAAGGTTGAAAGACAAACATGAAGACGCTTGATGCTAGGACATAATTGGCGTCATTCAACACTGATGTTACAGTATGGCGTATTTCATCATCGACTATGCTTTAGCAGACAATCATTTTAAATTTCTATGGGAATCAGGTTCTTCAAGTATTGGTTTGTAGGGATTTGGTTGATTAGTTACAGGATTTCATCATGAGCTGCTATCAATTAGAGAACCAATGGAAAACCTGGGAGTACTGGACAGCTGTTTCGTCCTAGTTTGGGACTCTTGAGCAGTACGCACCCACCGGGATTCGAACCCAGGACCTTCTGGTTACAAGGAGAGCCGCTGAGACCCGATCCAATGGCCTATGAATTCTAACCAATCAGAATCTCGCTTCACTCTCAGTTAGCATCCTTTTATCACATCATTATTCCCATACTGTCTGACAAAGTACCGTAGATATCTGACTATCGATCGATCAAAGGACGTGTGTACTGAGCATCAATTCACCTTATTCTCCATTATGGCTGAGGCACGGTCATTGAAAGTGAAAGACACGAAAAAGGTTTCTTGTCTTTGATCATAGGTATCTGCGTTCTGTATCCCATGTTAGGTGGCATACAAGAGTGAGTAAAACTGAAATTGAACGTCAAGTGTAAGGTAAGGCGAGAAAGTCGTTTGATGAGACTGTGAAGCTACATAGTTTGAAAGGGCCAGGACACGTGTTACGCAGATCTTATTCGATTTTACGGTTACTATTCTCTCTGTCTCACATTTCTCTTTAATATCGTACTTTCAAATCCATTTTTTCCTTCTTTTCTCTTGTGTTTTATGTGCTACATGGTATTTGGTGACTCAAACTGCTGCTTTTCTGTGCAAACTCCTATTCTGGAACTATCCAGTTAGCAAGACTGTTGAAAATATCTTCCAACTCAAATCATTGGCTGCTGATGCTACATTTCATCATGAAAAATAACTTTGCCTCAATTGCAATCAGAACGAAATATTTATCCAGTTTAAGTTTAAGGATCTAAAGCAGGGTGTACTTGACAAACCATAAGGCTACCCAGATTTCATCAGTAAGGTCAAGTGTGAACATCAATTAGGCCGAAACTCTTCTGAATAAAACAGTTATTTTATGTTGTAGCAATATTGAGAATATAACATACTGTGAAGTTTTCATTTTTGCTACATCTAGGTAATTCGTAACCACTGCATAAATTTGTGACTGTGATTGGACCGGTACTTCAGAGGCTTCTGATCTGGATCCTACCATCAGCTACATTCTCGTCTCACTTTCATTCATTATTGGTTCAGTCACAGAACACTCGCCAACCACGTTTGTGGTTATCCGGGCTCGATTCTCAACTGATGCGCCTTGAAACACCACCTACTCAGTAATAAACCCGGTTAAAATGGAAAGCTGAGGTTAGCAACTCTAATACACCACTATAATAAAGGGTTTTTTGTATTTCCCAATGAATAAAGAACAAAACGATATTGTTTTTACTGGCGTTTCGCTTTTTAATGCTAATAGGTTTCTCAAAGTATTATTAAACCGGAATTTACAAATCTAGGCATATATAATATGCTGAGATATCAATGGTGGGCCTGCGAAATTTGGGCTACTGATATCCATGCTGAAAATTCCATACTTGTACCAATAATACAGTGTGGAATCAAGCTGTAATCAAAAAAAATATGATGAATTGACACAGTTCGAATTCAGAGGTCATTGAATTCCAGCTAAAGTGGTTGAACTATTGACGAGCTAAGTCTCTTAATGTAAAGGTCACGGAGTTGTAGTTGTGCACCTTTGAAGACTGCCAAAATAGGATGAAATAGCTGTTCAGTACTCCCTGATTTTCACTGACCTCTCTAACTGACTCTGGTTCATAACGAAAGTCCAACAACTGAAGAATGAATTTATTCACACAGCTCTCCGTGAATGGTTATGCAGCTAATTGTTGAAGCTCACAGCCACAGAGGTCATGTATCTGAACTCAAAGCATATTAAGCCTAGTGAGGCAATGAAAGAGAACACAACTACATCAAAAACAGAATTATTCCGAATAATTCTACTGCAAAAGCTGTAGCTTATACAGACAAACGTTCAGAGGAAATTTGTTTTTATTTCTTCTTGAACACTCCGGGATCTTTTTAAATAATTTATCATGCTTAATTTTATGATATCTACTAATGATTACAAAAAATAACTCAAGGAAACATTGTTAGAATAATGATATAGTTGCTGGTTTGAAAACCCCTAATGTCTGCTTCTGTGGTGTAACTAATAATGGCCAAAAGTGATTCAATAGAATACACTCCCAAGTTGCAGTTAAAATCGTCTGACTCACTGGAAACAGATGTCCACCGTCAACTATTGCATATCATATAACAAAGTCAGGGAATATAGTTGATTTCAATAGTACCTTTAAACGCATATATGAAACGTGCACACAAACCTAAAATTTTTGATGCCCTGGACATAAAATGATGTGAATTTGATTCATTTGTTCGGAAATTACTTGTTAATACACTGAACCTGTCTTGAAAAACTGTTTTTAAAATCAAGTTTCATTTACATATTAATATTTTGCTTCTTTGCTCCCAACTTCTTGTCGATAATTTTAATCCCTTTCACTGATCGTTGCGAGTTCGCTGACTGAATTTTGACCCATTATGCAATAAAAAAAGTCAAATTCACAAATTACTCAGTTCAAAGTGAAATTTCACTAAAGTTTCCCTTCAAAACAGGGATTCTTCAGATCACAGTACGTTATCTTGATACAATTAACTATATTTAATTAATATATATACATATATTATAGGGTGAGCAATATTGAGGTTAGGCATCAGCCGATTGCGAAACAAATAGGCAGGAAGAAATGGAGATGGATTGGCTAGCCATAGTCTGAGGAAACCATCAAGTGACATCACTAGACAAGCCATTGCTCGAGTGGAACCCGAAAGAGAAGCGGCGAGTTGGTCGTCAGTGCAAGGGTGACTTGGAGGAAGTCATGTGTGGAGGAGATGAAAACATGTGGGCAGACTTGGAGCGGAGTGAAAAGTCGGCAGAAAACAGAAGGCAATGGAGACGCGCAGCTGAAGCATATAATAATAATCAGCCGATTGCTAGGTGAGGTGGGAAAATCAGCAGACGAGGCTTTGAAGTTACATCGGCTGAGATGGTCAGGACATGTGTTACGTATGCCTAGCCATCGCCTTCCTCGACGAGTAATCTTAGCTAACTGACACAGGATGAATTTTTTTTATTACAGCTTGATTCCACACTGTATTTTTGGTACAAGTATGGAATTTGCAGCGTGGATATCGGTAGCCCAAATTTCGCAGGCCGACCATAGATATCAGGTGTGCGTCGGCAGGGGATCGAACCTAGGACCATATGCATGGTCGGCGAGAGTCCTAACCACTGTGCCACCGACGCACACACGAATCAGGTTGGAAAGGAGTTGGCTGGTGGTGGTCATACAAAAATATGGCTTCATTAGTCAATAAAATCCACAACAGTTAGTTTTAATCACGTAGGAATGTGTAGGCTTCTTGGTTGGGGTCATCGGGACGGTAGAAACCAATGGCTGGAGACAATTGGTGATATGGCTCAAAATTGATCTCATCGGCGCAGATGCATTCATTTATAATATCCAATATAACTGTATTGTCCTTCGATATTACTATTCTTTTTTGCCCACATCTCTTTTTACCATCTCTATTTTGCATTTCTTTTTCCTTTCTTCTCTTGCTTTGTGTGCTACATGGAGTGTGGCGACTTGAACTGCTGCACATCGGTGCATAGATCTATGTTGAAACCAGTCAGTTAGTCAGTCATAAACAGTGTTTAAGGAGGCAAGCATACTATATACTTCTGATTGATGGAGATGGGTAGTTATATACCACACATATCACCCAGAAGTCCTAGTCAACGAGATCGAAGGATCTAAACACCACTTGCTAGCTATCCGGAAAATGGATGACTTGCACTAATTCGGCTGTCTAATGAGCTCGATCTTAGACCATAGAAACACGGTCATGGGGTGTTTAGATCACTGCTGGTTGATCTGAGTGGTATACTACCAATTATCACAATTAATCAGTAGTATAAAGCGTTACCATATTATACTTTGTTAACTTTTACATGAATATGTCTCACAAGTACATGTGGCCAGAATGTCCTAAATTCACCGTGCAAATGCATTACCCATGTTGTAGGAAATAGGTTTTTGTCTTATTTTTACAAGTATGACCACAGAGTGACATCAGTTAAAGAACCATTGAAAACCAGCAGGGAGTACTAGATAACTGTTTCATCCCAGTTTGGGAATCATCAGCAGTACGAAGCCACAACCGAAGTTCGAACCTAGGACTTTCCGGTTGCAAGGCATGCTCGTATTTCACTCAGCCACCGGGACCCGATTCAATAACTTATGAATTTTAACCTCTGTTAATTCGTGATTTAGCATGACCACCAACCAATGTCATCGGTTGGACACCCATCTTCACACTTGGCTGGATGGATCTCACTAGGCACAATTTCTCACTAGAACTCACTGCAGGAAACGCCATCCTGTAACAAGTTACTAGCGAGCATCAGATTAATTTTCAAGAGTTGGTTTGTAAGGATTTAACTTGTTTAAGGGGATTAATCACTTCACTAAAGTTTAGTTTTCGATAGATGGAAAAATTCCAAGCAGAGGTCATCAGATTAGAAGTATATGAATAGGCCATATCTTCCATTTATCATCTGTCGAAAATGTCAAAAAAGATTTTACAGTCATACGGTGTAAGTATCGATGTATGCTATTTCATTAGATTAAAACTCAAAAGTTGTCTTGAATTATTTAACATATTTTTAGACGTCATCATTTGTTCGACTTAAAATTTTAATGTTGACATTGTAAACTGATTCCTTTATTGTAAAATTTACACTCTACATCAGTGTAAGTGTTTCAACGCTTCATTCTATTTTATTATGTTTACAATAAGCAAATATTGTTTAAATCAATTCCAACTTGTTATTTATATAAAATGTTCATAAAAAAATAAAACGTATTTGGAATTATTTCCGAAGACAGAAATCATGAAAGCACTTTTCATCGGTGTAGTTTGTATTTTAAGTGTCCTTATATCACAAGGTAAGTTATAGGATTCAAAAAGATTTTCAAATGTTCTCACAATTTAACTCTCCTTGTGAGAAATGTATTCATAATTTCTGAACGAGATAAGATTTAGAAATGAGCTGAAGAATTTAGCAATTCAGACTTTCTGGTTTTTAAGATACACAGAAACGGAATGATACACGTTGCAACATAAAAATAATAGATGAAATCAGCAGAGGCCAGAATTTTCCATTAACCAACATGTAGAATTCGAGGAATTCGGTTGAATATAATTCTGAATCAGAAAAAATCATTTCATATAATGCACAGGGAGGGAGAATTGATAATACAGTAAGGTTTCGAGCACAAAATGTATTGCTGAAAATGTTATCAGTGCATTCATACAGAATCACCATTTGACTCATGAAGTTTTTTTCTCTGCCCTCTCGTTGTTCACTGCAATTCTCCACATCTCCAGTATAGGCATTACTCGATTTCAACTACACGTGTTTGATGTTGACTCAATGAACAAAGATTCACTGGTGAACCTCTCTCGCCACCTAACTACATTCATGCTTAATACTTTCCCCCTTTCACTCTCTATTGTGCAATTATATGCAAGTGAATGCATTGCAATGACCGAGCATCTCTCCAGGTTATTCAACTTATCAGGTTCTGTCATTCTAACTCTACCTACATTCCTGTGTTCCGATAATCTAATTAACCTCAATCTACTAGTTTGAATCATCTATGTAACTGACCTCACAGTCATTTCATGGTATTTGGTAAATTGTATTATTTTCCTTAATTGGATCTATTGGATCTACCATTAAGCCGACAAGATTTGTCTCAGAGTGAGTGAGTCGGTTGGTTGATTGGTTGGTTTAAGTACCACCACCCTGATTCCAGCATCATCACGAACCACACATAAGGCTTCTGATGTTACTTCTTGATGTGACAGTATTATCTAGGCTCTGAATTCCTCAATATTTGCATTATTTTCATTATATACATCTCTAATCTTATTTTCCTGATGGGACTTCATACATCTCTGAATGAATTCTGGTGGGAAGTTACCCACATTTTATCGCTCATAATCATAATAATGCACCAAATCAAGTCATCTCTAGGTCATTCGAAACCGTTTATGTCAATGCCTTAAATTAATAATCCAAGAAGAATAAAAGGTACTATTAAAATTCATAAAACAGGATTTCAGCAACACTCTTTCCATGAGTTATCTAAATATTTAGCATCAGTATTATATCGTGTTAGAGACAGACAAGCTTCTAGACTAACTGATTCATACATAGCAAAACGAAAGGTAGGTGAGATTCAAATTGAAAAGAATGAAAAAATGATTACTTTCCATGTACTGAATTTATACACCAAGTAACGCAGCTCCGGAGGCAACTGGGAGTGAAATTGACCTACATCGTGAACTCAAAAATAGTAAAAAAAAACTCTCGGTTGATGAATTAATACTAGGTGTAGGATTGTACGCAATCTCTGATGTACTCAAATTTCAAAGTGAAATATGAAACCAAACAAATAAAGTGACAAAAGGATCACCACTATCTCCAATAGTTGCAGAATAACGGCTAATTGGCAATGTAAAATCTTAGAAAATTTGACGGCGTTCCTAACTGACGGTGGGAATATGTGGATGACACATAGACTGTGCTAAAGTCTGAACTTATCCCTAAGTTCTTCATTCATATAAACTCATTGGTAGATTGATACCGATTCACTCTTGAGGTAGAAAATTAACAGGGTGAGTTAGATATGATGAACTTTAAAATCAAATGAAAACAGGATAGTGTGTTAGACAGTGGCGTTTACATTAAACGGAAACACTCTAATGAATGCTTAGACTTTAATTTGTTTAATCCACAGTCAACAAACAGAGGTTCCGTTAGTAAGTTAGAAGATTTAAATAATGAAATTAAGAAAATAAAGAAAATACTAGTACTGAATAACTACTCACCAGAATTCATTCAGAGATGTATGAAGTCCCATCAGGAAAATAAGATTAGAGATGTATATAATGAAAATAATGCAAATATTGAGGAATTCAGAGCCTAGATAATACTGTCACATCAAGAAGTAACATCAGAAGCCTTATGTGTGGTTCGTGATGATGCTGGAATCAGGGTGGTGGTACTTAAACCAACCAATCAACCAACCGACTCACTCACTCTGAGACAAATCTTGTCGGCTTAATGGTAGATCCAATAGATCCAATTAAGGAAAATAATACAATTTACCAAATACCATGAAATGACTGTGAGGTCAGTTACATAGATGATTCAAACTAGTAGATTGAGGTTAATTAGATTATCGGAACACAGGAATGTAGGTAGAGTTAGAATGACAGAACCTGATAAGTTGAATAACCTGGAGAGATGCTCGGTCATTGCAATGCATTCACTTGCATATAATTGCACAATAGAGAGTGAAAGGGGGAAAGTATTAAGCATGAATGTAGTTAGGTGGCGAGAGAGGTTCACCAGTGAATCTTTGTTCATTGAGTCAACATCAAACACGTGTAGTTGAAATCGAGTAATGCCTATACTGGAGATGTGGAGAATTGCAGTGAACAACGAGAGGGCAGAGAAAAAAACTTCATGAGTCAAATTGTGAATCCGTGTGAATGCATTGATGCTATTTTCAGCAATGATCTATCACTGTGTTAGGGAAAATCAGATCAATATGCATGAATGTACAACTTTTTTAATTCAGTGTCTGCTAAAATTGGTTAAGGTAGAGAGTATTGTTTATCCACTAAGTGGACTTTTTATTTCGTCTACAGTGAAACTGTGATGGCTGTCAGTATTAAATGAATTGAAGTCGAATGTCTTTTTGAAAATCTACTGGATGTAGCGAAAAGTAGCAGGTGTTTTTCTGTTCTCCTGATTGGTTTGTTTCTTTATTTTTAAAAGAGCAGGGACCCCAGTTTTTGCACACTTTTACATTGATCATAGTTTTAAATGATGTAGGTCCATTAACCAGCCATACTTTCCGGGAATCACTTTTTGAGCTTTTTCATTTGTTTTCTCCAAAATATTGTAATTTTGACCCTTTTTAATGATTATGCTATTCAATTTTATGCAGGATACAGCAGACCAAATAAAAAGTGAGTTTATTTTGAAATATTTAATGTGGTAGCTTTATGACCATTTTCATCAGTTGTATAATTAAATTAGATTAACTAGTTCAAATCCAAAAGACATTGCTGAAAAAGTGTCGCTACCAAGTTCTACATTAATGAAGGAGCTTTTTCAACAGTTTCAAAGAGAAATCATGACTATAGAGGTGCCTAAAGCAATCTACCTTTGTGATATTGGACTTCTGGCTTCGAGAAAAAAGAACAAGAAGCTCGAGCTGGAAACTATTAGCACCTTTAACCCCTTTGCTTATCATGTAGAACTAAGTTTATAATTGTATCTACCTAAACTTATTGATGTAAATGATTCTGTAAAGCTGCGGTTGAGTATGGCATCGCCGTAAAGATATCTGCTTCCTGAGCTACTTGTTCTTTATTCTCTAGGCCAGACTGAAAACATCTCGAATGTAAATCATCAACAGCACGAAGCAAATTATCCGGTTCAACCTTCCGTTTGTGCAGGATATATAGAATCAAACAGGCTTCCAAGGAATACATGTTACTATCGGAACTTAACACAGGTGGCACAGACACAAACTGTAAATGTTCACACTACCAAAGATGCTGTGAATAACTGATATTTTTTTCTTCCTTTACGTTCCCAGTGGAAAATAGGACTTCAAGCTTCAGGCTTGAAGTTTCTGTAGCAGTGGTGGTTATTTTTACAGGAGGGGGTAACTAGCTAGCCACATGTCCAAACTTCTCCCTTTACCAGTCTTGCTATTGGCTTAGCGAGGTAAAGGAGTGTGTTCGACACGGATGGAACCCCGGACCACCTGCGTAGTCGGAGAGCATTCTACTGATGTGTCACCGACGCACAAATAATTAATCTAGTTCACCAGAATGCCTCAAGTTGAAAATTATTTTGGTATTATGAGGTAAAGAAACTAATTATAAGTGCTTTTTATGTATACACAAAACAAAGCGCTAATTTCCCCCACCCACCATTTCGACATTTAGAAGAAAAAACAGTTGTACGAAGGAATATCTACTTTCAAGCTAGATTTTCATATATGGCTCTGCTGTAATATATGTCATCATTATTATCCCCTTGGAATATAGTGCTACAATTGCCTATCTTCATTCCACTTTCTTCCCTGCAGTCCTCATTAGTTGGCCCCACGGCTGGCCACAGGTTCTCACTTCCTCCTCACGTGATTTCTTCCATATCACCTTCTTACCCGTAATCAGCTTGTCGTTTCCCATTCGGGTTACACTCGAGCGATTGCCTGTTGCGTGGTATCACCCAACAGCCTTCTCAATATGTGTCCGATCCATCTTTCTTTGAAATGGTTCTTGGTTAGTTTTCCTGACTATGAAGTTAACGACCGCAGATGCTGATAAAAGTCTTCAATCTAATGAAACTGCTTTTGATGACACGCAAGCAAATATTATGACCCACACGGAAGAACTGACTGACTTGACATTGGTACTGAAAGCCCATATTTCGTTATTTATGCAGAGGACAGAAAATTTTCAAACTGATTCTAGAGTGATGAAGGTTTACCTTGCCTTCCCGATCCAGCCTGATTTCGATATCCTCATTCACGCTGTCACCTGTTTTTAAAACGATGCCACCCAGATAAGTAAACAGAGTGATCTCTTTCTGACTTGTTTCTTTGATAGGGATTGGTGCTTATTGTTGTGGCTGCTTGGTAGTCTTCATCAACTCCGTCTCTCCTATGTTCACTTGATGTCATGTCTTCATCGCCTATCTCTTCTGACAACTTTTTGGCTTTGTCGTGTAGATATTAGATATTGTGTGATGTAAGATTTACCTAACAGCTAAGTCCATATCTTCTAGAGTCGAGTTATCGGTCGAATGTATTCCTGTCTTCTCACTCAACATTAGTCTAATTTGCAACAATTGGGAATATCATCGATGATAGCAGGTAGTTTTGTTTCACTTTCGCCCTCACTTCAAATGCTTTGCTGAATTTTCCATTGTGAATTTCATGACACGTGGAGTTGTGATATAGCTGTTGATTGCAGTTGATAAAGATTTGGGGGTACTTCATATTTCTTAATCAACTTCAGAATTACTTCGTGGTCAACTCTGTCAAAGGCTACGTATAAGTTTAAATAATTTGCGGTATTTTTAAGTAGAAACGGATAGTGTAAATGTTTTAAAAATTATTGTTTTTTCTAAGAGATATGAGTAACATAAAATCAATATTATTTGTGATATTCAAGGAGACCTGAAATCCATCCAAAAGGCGAACCGTAAGTTGTTTATTGTTCATTCTGTTGGTTACTGTTGTATTTCATCATTAAATGCACAATATTTAAGGAAAACTACATCCGTTAAATCAAATGGAGTAGATTAAACTTAAGTGTTCTTAAAAGAAGCTATCTTGTCAACCAACATAAAACATTCGTTTAAAAATAAAGAGCATTAACATTATAACTGACTGGGATCTTTTTATATTCCTGCAAACAATCAACAACTTATGTCGACCACATTTTAGATATTTCTCAGCTTTTCTTGATAGTGTTCAATAATATTTGAACTAAATTTTTAGTGAATCAATTATTTTTAATAATAATGATTTACTTTATTCCAAAAACAGTACTTGTGATACAGAATGGAATTTTCAGCATTAATCACAATATTGCATCTAATTTCCTCAAATTATAAATAAAAATTAATCACACAGAAAATTTTCGACATTTACAATAGAGGTAGTGTCAAAAACATGCAGCACATAAAATGGAAATAACAATAATAATGATAACAGCTAGGGTAATAATAATAAGAATACAAGTGAAAATTGCCGTTGGCTTGTGTCACACAGTATTGGCAATGTGGTATAGAAATCCTAACATGTTTAAAAATATTGAATATAATGTTCTCCTTACATGATATGGTGAGGGGAAAAACGAAGCTATCATGGAGATAAGTTGGTGTTTGCAATTATGAGAGTAAAACAGAGAAGTAACAGGACCATAAATATAATAGAAATAATAAAAGTAAAACTTGAAGGTATATGAGGATGGATGGAGGAAATTGTTTATTTACTAGATGAAAAAAGGTTAGTTAATTCTTGCCTGACACTATTTTCATCACATAAAATACGTGCCAAGTATGGTATCATAGAATTTTTATACTTAGACGTGCGAGCATACAGTTTTCTGAAGTTACTTCTTGTTCTACCTGAGGAGATGCAAGGTGAAAGCTGTGAGTAAATTGGATGCTCCAAGTCAGACAAAATCCCTTTAGCAAATTTATTGCACGAAGTCAACTGCCTATCGACAACGACGTTAACTATGTGGTCCACTGGGACACCACTCACCCTACTGACAGTCTTCAGTATTCTACGAATTGTGACATAGTCTTTTTTAAGCAAACCAGGAAAGAATAAGGGTGAACAATAAAGAAGAATAGGTAGGATGCAAGAGTTTATGAACTGTAAGAGGAAGGGTTGAGTTATACCCGAGTGTCTTAACTTCTTAATGTAAAATGTCAGGCGGAATATTTTACTGGAGATTGCTAAGACATGGGAAGACCAGGAGAGATCAGAGGAGAGAATGAGTCCAAGATACTTAATTTCTGATTTGATTCCTATACCATTGTCGTCAATTTTACAAGTGTCATGAGAATCGATGACTTCTTTTAACTGTCGTTTACATCTTAAGCTGAAATCAACAGTTTGACACTTAGAAGGATTCAGTTTAAGACCGTTAGACTCAGACCATTTGCTGACTTCCGATAGAAAGCTATTTATTTTAGTACAATCTAGCTGGGAGTTAACAGCCATTGAAACCGTTAAATCATCAGCGTACTTCACAAAGTTTATTTCATCAGAGTGAGGCAAGTCATGCAAGAAGAAAGAAAAAAGAAAAGGAGAAAGGACAGCGCCTTGAGGGACACCAGCTTCAGTAGGCAATGAAGTGGAAGACTTCTTTTTATATACGGTGTACTGCTTTCTTTCTGAGAAATAGGAATGTAACCAGTTAACAGCCCAACATTCTGTTTGACTAGCCGCAAGTTTATTTAATAAGATGTCCCTAGGGACCGAGTCAAAGGCAGATGTATAGTCTAGGAAGGCACAACGAACAAATTTAGCCCCCTTGTCTAGACTGGAAGCAATTTTATGATGTGCAATATATCATATAAACTGACTACTCACCATCATACTACTCAAATTTTACTCTTACACTGACAACAGACAACTTGAAGACAGAAGTATTACTAGCATTTTAGAAATACGTCTTTGCATACACCAATACATCTAACAACAATAATAAGCAATTTTAAGATGTGTACGTGAAAATCGTTTTAGGAAAATAACTGAAATACACAATGAGTACTTCCAGAAATTTTGTATGACATCAGACATAAACCATCCGCGAAATCCAGGTCTCCTAGATTCTGGTCCGAAGTGAAGAATCTAAAAGACCTGGATTTCGCGCGTGGATGATTTATGTTTGATTTCACACAAAATTGAAGACTTGCAAGCGAAAACCGACAAACTGATCGAAGATGCAGGCAGTGAAGACAGGACTCCAGGTGAACATAGACAAGACGGAGGTTATGAAAATAACCAACCAACCATCAACAAGAACAGCAACATTCGGCGCTAATCAACATCAACGGGAGGGAGTTGAAAGAGGTTACTTCATTCAGTTATCTAGAGAGGGAGCATTGTCTCAACTACAGGCAGTCGGAATGGACGAGGATGTCAAATCGAGCGAGAATCGGGAAGGCAGGCGAGAAACACATTCATCAACCTGAAACAACCAATCTGGAAATCTTCGTCACTCAGTCAGAATCAACAACAAAATTCAGTCGGATTTTCAATACAAACGTCAAGTCAGTCAGTTCTTCTATACGGATCAGAAACTTGGCGTGCAGGTCACAAGGAATATTTCCAACAGGCTATTGCAGACCTTTATCAACAGATGTCTTCTCTCTATGCTGAAGATCAGATGGCCGGGCCAGAAAGAATCACCAACAAAAAACTATGGCTGAGAATAAAGAAAACAAGAACCAATTGCCCTAACAAATATGCAGGAGAAAGTGGAGATGGATTGGACACTCTCTGAGGAGGCCACTGGGTGACATCGCGCGCGTGTCAGGCCATTGCTCGAGTGGAACCAGGCCGAAAGGTAAGTGGCGAGTGGGACGTTAGTGCAAGGGTGATATGGAGGAGATCGTGTGAAGGGGAGTTGAAAGAGTATGGACTAACATGGATGCAGTGCAGCAGAAAAATACAGCAGAAGACAGAAGCAAGTGCAGAGGTGCAGTTTAAGCCCTAAATTCCACTAGGAACTCAAGGCAACAATAATAATAGTACAGAAATCATATTTAGAATATGAACTACCCGATAGAGAAGTCCATACATAAAAAAGTGGAACTTTTCCAGTGTAACAGAGAATAACTCCCTGTCAGTTGGTTTATTTATTCACGCACTCATTTTGAAGTGCCTTTTACCAAATGAACCAATTACATAAAAGTAGCAAGGCATTTTCATAATGTAAAATTAATTCCCCTGATGTTCACTTTAAAAATACGAAACAATTATATATCAGTGTAGTGATGTCTAAATCAAGTTGAAATTTAATGATCTGGAGCCATTAAAAATGGTATTTATTAATGAAATTATTAAATCTACCTGATTGCACTGAAATAGGACGAAATAGGAGTCTTAAATTCCCCTGCTATTCACAGTCCACCAAACAGTGGTCAGCACCGGAATCGAGACATACGTTCACAAAGTTCATATGCAAAAATGAGTCTGGAAACCTCAGTACTGAATGTCAGCGAAATATCAGAAATATGTATGAATAGTCATTTCAGTGATTAAAGAATCTTCTGAATAGAGGTCTGGAGAATTTACATGCTTTCATTATCTGGCGTAAATAATTTGCAATAGATTTATTCATTGTATTACACTGCGTTCCTGATCTTTTGAAATTATCGTCAAAATGGATTCATTTAGAGCGATAAATAATGTTTTCAAATTTCTCTAAATTTTTATATCTAAAGAATTTATCTTGACCAGCTGACGTGAGTCGAATACATGATGTATATTATTATTCATCTTATGCCATCATATAAATAATAACGAAGTACATAACCTTCACGAATATAAAACAAAAATTGATCCAAATAGTTTCAACAATTCAGCTAACATCATCAGTCAACTTTGGATTTGAATCCAACCCTACCTACTGCACCCATAGACAACCGGGTAGTATTAAAATCCCTCACATAATAAGTGGGGTACATGCGATAACCGTTCAGGGTAATTGAATACAACGCAAAAAAGGTTTTTTTTTATTGTGATGAATACGTCAACAGTCTAATCTGTAAAGGTATTTACACCTTGAACATTCAGTAGGAATTACACTATTATCCCCTTTGTGAACAACCAGTGTGTCCGTTGCAGTCTTACAGTTTATTTGTGAGCATAAGTGTCTGAATTGTAGCTTCCCTAACTGCAGCAGTGGGTGATGTGAGATCTATTCTTAGAAGTGACATGAATCCCTTCGCTGCAGAAAGGCCTTGCTGACGAATGCCAACAGGCACAAAACCTACCTCCAGAAAGGCCTCTCTGCAGACTACCTCTAACCATATAACATTATTACACTTATATTCGTAATTTTGGGAAACCATAGAGAATATGAAAAATATGTGATTTCGGTGATTTTATGCAGATAAATTAAAACAGAATGCAAACATTTAGATGCGTTAATGTTAGGGATTAGTTGTAAATCTGTTAGGAAAATTATTCATTGAATCTTACCTGGTTAACTGTTTAGTTAGGAATTTCTTACTTGGGTTTCATTGTTCTCCTGTCATTATCAACTAGAAAACATGGAAAAGCATGGAAGATTCTTTAAAATCGTAGTAATTATCAGTCTCAATTTCAAGCATTCTAATGGGGCTGATAAGATTCTAGAGTGATGGGGGAGGTGGACTAATATACTTAAGCTCCGAGCACAGGATCAAACCATCTCAGTTACAGAAGTAGTTTGCTGAGAATTCCCTTTCGATCTGGGGAAAAAGCCCTGACGATGTCACTAACAACCATTCTATGTCGACCACAGAGCTTAAGTATATTGATCCTGTTGCTCCACTTCTCCAGTATCTTGTAATTCCCACTGGAACGCTTAGAACTGAGGTTGATAAATTTTCTGAGACATCATGTTTCGGAAGATTGTGAAGCGTTTTCGTGTGGTTATAAGAGACAGAACTAACAGCGACAATTAGAGGCTAATGTCTCTTCATGAACAGTTGTGTTGGGATGGCTGGTGAGGCTATGGAACACTGCATTCTATTGTAACAAGAGAAGACAAAGGCCAGGCAACAGATCATTTATTAAGAAAATCAACGCATATTTATAGATTTTCATGTACATTATTATAGATTATTGTTAGCAGAAAAACACAGTCTTCTGATTGGTTGTTTCTCATAGAGAGTTAACCTTGCATCTCTTTGTGACTGTTTCTTGAATGTCAGACCATATATATCTTAACTGTATCCGCCCACGAAAAGCCTTTCTTCTCATTTTTCTCACGACCAATATTGGGGACATAAACACTAACGTAAATTACTGTCCACCAACTTTGACTAACAGCCAGCTCTCACCACACTATTAACCCCTGAGTTAGAGTACGCGAAAGCCTTGGGAATGTTATTCAACCAATTTGGCTAGCCTAACTCAGTTTTTGAAGGCTTCCTTTGTGAATTACTCTTAAGCCCACAACTGCACCCAGAAGATCTAGGTTGGTTTCAAAGGTTGGTAAGTCAGATGACAGACTTTAAGATAGAGTCATCCAAATGAACCATACTGTCTACCTGAACTGTTTTACCGACCTTAAATTTATTGTCTAACATCAACCTTGGCACCTAGAATGGTAATAGGCTCAACTAGGAAAAGATAGTTAAAAATCTGATTAGCCGAGTATTCCTTGATTCACAGAACTCCTAAACTGGCAGTTATCACTGTCCATAAGTTGTTAGGGGCGAATAGCCAGTGGAAAAGTAGAGTGACGCCATCACACTGTGTTACCGTCGTGACATCATGAATTCAGAATTCACCTATAATTTGCTCTGAAGATAACGACTTATGTGAGGGTCAACGTCTTTCGTCGATGGGTAACAGAGATAGATTTACATTGTAATGAGACATAAGCTGTGCTGCAACTGCCTGAAGTCTGATTGGCAAGGTGACACTTACCGTGCATCAGGGAACTGTGATATTACCACGAAATTTTACATAATGAATATCACCCGGTAGAGATGTTAAACAATGCTAGTTCAAAATTAGAGACCTCCTTTCTAGGATATATGCCAATTCGGGTCTTCAGTCACAAAGGATTTCTCGGTACATATGCATTTCTTGAGAAAGGTTCAGACACTATGTTGTTGCAGAGTTTTTCTGGTCTAGAGGGGATAAACACATCGTTGCAGATGACATCCATCTCTAGGACTACATCTGAAGATTCAGTTATGCTTGATTTCACCAAAATGGGATAACAAGTCGAATTCAAGACTGCCTACACAGTAGAAAAGTTGCTTGTAAAAAGAGCTACCATCCCACCAGATGAGCAGCTGAAACGACGGCCTCATCCAGCAGAAGTCTTTTTTTAAGACGTTGAAGGCAAATGGGTCAGCCTAGTGATTGGAACCAACTTTCCTGAAGTAGCGTGTAGGAAAACCCAACCAAACATCCGCATCCTAATCAGTCTTTGATTAAATATCGTTTGTGCGTGGAAACAGTAATAAGGACGCTACACATTTCTTCTGCTTATTAGAAGGTGAAAAAGTAGAAAATAAGTTGCTGAGAACGTCTGAAGCTGAATTTTAGGCTAGCTAAACATGCTAAAGGTCGAGCTCTACAGTAGATACAGAAGTTTTAGAGGTAACTGGTAAGGGTGTAAGATTAAAAACGGCTATTATGAAGGGAAAGACCCTCTTACATGCCGTATAGGAGTGTCGTGGCACTTTAGAACCTCGTAAATGCCACGTAAATCAGGAGCAAGACGTATCACGTTCTTATGATTCCGATAAATATATATTATTGGCATCTTCTGTCCGATTTACACCTCTAGGAAAAGATGACCAATCCTAACCTGCCTTGAGTGAAGTGCCAATTTCAAGTGTATCAGCTTATGGAGTATGTGAAAAAAATAGAGTGTAAACGACAGACTCGTCTTTTAATCCTCTGGTTAAACATCAACTATCTACATTTGTTCATTTCGACTTAATGAAAAAAATCGCGATCTGTTGATTATTATGATGAAGTGCCTTCTTTAAATGGAACTAAATCTGAGCAACCGCCTATTCAGATACCGAACAGACCATTGTAATTAGTTACTAACAGTCTTAAGATTCACGGTAATCAGTCTACTGAACATCAAAGTGGTAATTTAGGTAGTACTTCAATGTTGACAGCAACCCATTCATTTGAAGAGCTAAAGCTCACTTAATCTGTAACAGTTGAAGTGTTCCTGGAGATCCTAATGTATCTATTATTGTTGCACGGGTTCATCAGCTTCAAGTCACTTCTACAGCTTACCAACCACCAACCTCAGTTAATTTACAACCGCCATAGATGACTCAAAATAGTCAAATTCCCATGCATTCGGAGGGGGCAGAATTCTTCAATAATTTCAACAGTAATGGATAGCCTAATGACAGTTTGGCGTGTGCTAGTCACAATTTAATTCCATCCTCATTGGCATATGATCTTCAGCAGATTCAAAGAGGCCAATTCCACGCCAGTATGATGTAGATTTGTGCTAAAAAAATTCGATAATCGATAGTCAAATCGATTAGTTCAACCATAGGTTGAATGACGCGTAAAGTCCAAAAACACTGGATCGGTCTCAACTATGGTACTATATCATACATGAATTAATTAAATATAATATGGAAACCTCAAACTGTGAGGTGTCTGTGGGTGAACGCTTTCAAATGCACAATCGCTATGCGTCAATAAAAAAACGAAGCTGTGTCAAGGGCAATCCGCGATCAGATTGTACAGGGCATGAGTCCTAAACACACAATAAATGTAATCAGAACAAGATAATTTCGAGCGGACAATTGGTTTCGATAATTTCTTCCTCAGACTCTGCCTTTATAAATCCATGAATATTCATGGATTCATGAATAGGCAGTAAAGAATAAATAGGTTTGAATAAACAATGCTCACCAGAGAATGGTAAATAAGTATTATTATTATTTCCTTTAATTCCTAGGGGAACATAGGGCTTCAGCAAAACGTCTCCATTGCGTTCGGTTCACTGCTAACGTTTTTACCCTACTCCAAGCCTGTCCATATGCTTTCATCTCCTCTTCACATGACCTCCTCCATGTCCGCCTCACACTGATGACCAAATCACCGCTCCCCATTCGGATTTCACTCGAGTGATGGCCTGTCGTGTGATGTCACTTGATGGTTTCCTCAGAGTATCGCCAGCTAACCCACATCCATTTCTTCCTGCCTATTTGTTTTGCAGTCGGTTCCTGGTTGGTTCGCTCATCGCCAGAGATCCCTCGCTGTTTCTGATCTTTACTGGCCATCTGATCTTGAGTAGTACTGAGCGAAGACAGCTGTTGATGAAGGTCTGCAGTTTGTTTGAAGTGCTCTTTATGACGCGCAGTGCAAGTCTCTGATCCGTATAGTAGCACTGACTTCACATTGGAGTTGAAAATCCGGATGTTATTTTTGATGATGAGTGCTGTTGATGTCCACACAGACTTAAGAGTAATGAAAGCTTGTCATGATTTTCCGATTGTTGCTTTGATATTCTCGTCAGTCCTACCTGTAGTTGCAACGATGCTTCTCAGGTAGGTAATGGAGGTTGTTTCTTTCAGGTTCCTCCCATTTATGCTGGCTGATTGTTGTTTGTTGTTGTTGTTGTTACTGTTGGCCAGGAATCTTCATCCCCTCTGCTTTATTTATGTTCACTTAAAGTCCTATCTTCTCTGGATGCTTCTTCTGCCAGCTTATTGCTTTTCACTTGCATATCATCCAGTCTGTGGGAAATCAGACATATATCATCGGCGAAATCCAGATCCTCCAAGTTTTTTGTGTGAGTCCATTTTATGCCTGTTTCCTCATTGTCCGTTGTCTGTCGCACTATCCAATCTACTGCAATCAGGAAAATCATTGGTGGCGTATAGAGTACATGCTGGTTATTTATAAGGAAATAATTACTACATCAAACAGAGTATTAATACACTGAGTGAGCTTGGAATTTCAGTGGCAAACAACATTCATGATAATTTAAAATACGCAACATAGGTTAATATTTACTTATCAGTTAGATCCTCATCTATAACATAATACATTTCGTTATTATTCTCTTGAGTTTCAAGTGTAATATAGGACCTCAACAGCACATCATCTGAATGATGTAAATGAATCTTAATGAATTTCACCATAATTTTAATCTCACGTACTCCCTCCCCCTTGAACATGACTTTGAAAAACTTTACACTTGTCGTTTTGCATGAATAATTCTTTGTAGTTTATTTGCTTATCAGTCTTATATCTCCCAAAGTATTTTTAACGATATATATATATATATATCTGTATGTAGAGTATTCAGTCGAAAAGTTGTACCAAAATTTGATATATTCATTAAATCCTCCTTTATTAACCTTTATTGCTTGTTTTAAATTCGTATCAGGAAATAAATATTTCCAGTTCATGTAAATAGAGTAACAAAACTACTTTCTATTGATAAGTAGTATAAAGTGTAACACAAAAGAAAATAGTATCAAAAGACGGATAGGAGGAGAGTTGTCACATTCTTCTTTTTAGAAATGGATTAAATATTTAAGATTTGTCCAGTAACTTTTATGTCTAAAATTTGAAAAGAAAAATTAACAAGAAACAGTGAAATGCTGTTTGTCTGGATCTGGTTTATTTATATTCTTCCAAACAGGCATGATTAAAAATATTCGTTTCGTCCTAGTTCGGGACTCTTCACATTACAAAATTAGGACAGCTTTCCAGTAGTCCTAGGTCAATTCATGATCAACCCTGTAACCAGTCAAATCCCTCCAAACTGACGCTTGATAAAAATATTTGTTGATTTCTGCAAACAGTAGGGTTACAGTTTTTATATTTACACTTTGAACTTACATTTCTAAAGTGTTCAATTCAGAAAGAAATATCGGCTTATAATATGACATACTGAGTTAGTGGATATGGTGGCATATCATTTTAGTGAACATTGTTACGTGGATTTTCATCTTAATCTTATGAATGTATATGCACGTCAAGTGTTTATCATGGTTGAGTGAAATATGAATGTGCGTATTCACTATAATTCTTTTGCATTATTAACAGTGAATATTTGAGGTTAGTTATTAAATATTTTCTTTTCTGTTTCACGATTGTGTATTTGATTTCATTTATACATGTATATATATGCAACATTAATCAATCGATAAAGCTATTTTTATTGTGGAAATTAAAACTGTTCCTCTTAAGACAATACCTCGTTTAATTGCTCGACTTCAATGTTGGGTAGATTGAGCACTAAGCTAATATTCTGGAGTCATCTGGTTTGAATCCTCTCGTAGTCCAGATTTTGATTCCGATTGCAATCGCTACTGGTTACACCACTAACAGTCCCCCAGTCCAAGAGTGCTTCAGCAAGTCTAATCTAAAGACATTAAAGTGATTTCTATGGGTTAATAGCGTGTCTGGTGGCCCATGCTGCACTGATTCACCAAATTTATGTGCAGGCATTTATGACTTCTCTAAAACACAAGCTGCAAAATATATATGGCTGTAAATTAAGTTATCCTATTGCCATTTTGAAAATTGGACCCTGATCGCTTGCTTGGAACTGAAAAATTCTACTCTTATTGACTCTATGATAGTGTTAATTTATGATAACAGAGTGTTATTAGTTTGCGGTTGTAGGCTAACTTGACTCAAATGCTTCTACAGACACGACATTATAAAAACAAACCGATGACTTGAAAATATTCCCCCACACTGATTTAGACACAAATGTTGGATTTAACTGCGACGCCAGCAACAACAATTCTACTTTTCAGGGTATGTATAGTTTACACATTACTGGAGGTTTAGGTCATAAGTAAGTAACCGATATCAGATTGGTTGGTTGTATGATGTTAGAAGTCCTCGGAAATTTAATCCAAAAATAAACCAATCAAAAACTGTCCATTCATTTTATCATGTCAGCGGATACAATAATCATAACTGCACGTCTAACAGTGATGCGTTGTCCAGCCTACCACACTTATGCCACTAGTTTTATTCGTCTTTCAGGAGTTAGCAAACTGTTCATTTTTAAGCAACAAAATATTAATAAACATAAAATAGCTTGAGAAGAAGCAAGCAAGTCCAAGCGGTAATTTTAACGAAAGTTAATTGTGTGGTTATTTACTAATTCTTCATGTGTTTTCCTCATCCTACGAATATCCCTATTAAAAAAAGCCAATGACTGATGTTCATCTTGAAACATCTATAAACATAAAATATGCACAGTTAATTATTCTCCTCTGAAACATTCAAAACGGGCGCTACTCATTCATGTATGATGAAATCTTGATCAGTAATTCACAGTGACCTACAAACTTAATTATATATATATTACTGAAACAATTTACGAAAATTTGATTTTCAGAATAAGATTTTGATGATTTTAATCGTCTACTATTCTAACTTGAAAGTAGTCAAATCTTTATAAACCAATATTTGAAAATTAATCTACTGCCTATAAGTAACCTGAAGTTCCAGTTAGAAACAGTGACCACTATAACTATTCAAAAGTGCCACTGGCCTGTTGTAGTGTTACATATCGATAACTGGTAGAAGTCGAAAAATATAGGCCATTGGATTCCTTCTCAACAGCTGCATGGCTTACAGTATATCAAGTAATCTAAATGTCTTGGTGTCAATCTTCGTCGGGATCAAGAGTACGTACTAGAGAAGCGCCTTAAAATATGACGAAACAGCTAACCACAACGTCTTGATTTGAAGCAGTTCTCTAAATGTTATCAGTTTTTGATTTAACTTGTGACCAGATGGCAAATGTCAAATGTTTTAGCATGATTTATACACAAACAGTAAATTTTCTGGAATCAACCAATTGTTAAAATGCATGTGCTGTTATTGTAATATATTAATATTTTTCCACTTTTTTCGATATAGGAGCAGTCAGCTAAAATACATCACTTGTAAAGAAAGAAAGAGCAAATTAACGTTATAGAATGATATAATTCTATCTCACACGTTCTCATCAAATGAAGGCAACTAACTGAGATCACAACAGTTATAAAAAAACCAATGAAAGCAACATACTTCAGTGTTTGATTGGTAGTAGTAAAAATGTTGTAAAAACAACGCATCCGAAATGTGAGCCTAACGATTTCTAGTTCAGGTTGCCATCAGTTATATGCTTACAAAGTGAGAAACAAAAGTAGGCGATGAGAAGACGGAAAAAAGAAAAGTTTAATAAACAGACAATGTTAGCTCATAAGTTTGCACAGTAACGCAAGAAGGTTATAGTTCATACGATTAAAATTTTGTTCATGAGATGAATTCACTGTATAAAACTACCCTGCTGATGTCACCTCCAACTGCGTTTATATATCTACATGTATTTGCAAGAGTAAGTACATTGAAACAGCAGAAAGAAGAGCTTCTATCTAGTTTTCTAAGAATATCCTAAAAATGTATGCCTAGACGGAAGCGAATATTCGCGAACTGCAATTACTAGACACCTTGGGAATACGGGTTATTTCATAGAGATTTCCAAATTCTTTATAATACTAAATATACTATGGACAGCAAATTTACCACCGCTTGCTCAAGCGATTGCAATAACAAGGTTTCAAGGCAAACTTATGCATACAAAAATAAACTGTCATAAATCTCTCACTGCCTTGGTAACTGCCTCCTGATTACATTTATTAGTCATCGATATAAGTGATTTCATCTCACTGAGGAAATTCCAAGAGTATGAACTATAACCTCCTTGAATTACTATTTTAACTTATAAGCTAACACTGTCTGTCTGTTTATTAAACTTTTCTGTCTTCTCCTCTTCCCCTTTCGTTTCTCACTTCGAAAGCATATAATTGATGGTAACTTGAACTAGAAGTGTGTAATGCTCACATTTCGGATGCGTTGTTTTTATAACATTTTTACTACTACCATTCAAACATTTGTTCTTTGGTTCTTTTATAAGTTTTGTAATTTCAGTTAGTTGCCTTCATTTGATGAGAACGTGTGAGATAGAATTATATAATTCTGTACTGCAAATTGGGTCTTTCCTTCTTTATCGAAATTTATCAAGTGAATTAAGCGTATGAAATAGTTTATCGGCTAAATAAAAGACGCCAAATTTAATAACATCTCTGATTATTTCGTCTTGAAGAAATACTTAATCACAGTATTTTCAGAGTGATATACCTTTACTTATGAAAGTAATATAAATTAGAATCTCACATTACTTACATTCATTTAGATATAACAATTTTCCCTTAGCTAAAGAGTGAGTTTCTTGGTTCTTCTTCGGGTAAATAAAGCTACTACTTTTTTCTGTTCTAAGATATCAATTCCTTTTTTGGTTTCAGGATTTCATCATTAGCTGACATCAGTTAGAGAACTATTGGAAAACCTGGGAGTATTGGACAGCTGTTTCGTCCTAGTTTGGCGCTCTTCATCAGTACGCACCCACACCACGATGTTCGAACCCAGGACCCTCTGGTTACAAGGCAAACTCGTATACCATTAGGGCAATGGCCAGTCCATGAATTCTAACCTCTGCCGATTCACGACATAGCGCGACCCCTGGCCAATGTCTTCGTAGAGTATTTGTCCTCACACCTGACTAGCTGTACCCTGCTGGTCATGACTTCTCATTAGAACCCCAGGTAACTACCTACATGAATAGGGCAAGTCGCTAGTGAGCATCTCATTGATATTCAATTGTTGGTTTGTAGGGGTTTGATTGGTTTACAGGATTTCATCATGAGCTGACATTAGTTAGAGAGCCATTGGAAAACCTGGGAGTAGGGTGCAGGTGGTCGGGTATGAGGACAAATACTCGACGAAGACATTGGCCAGGGGTCACGCTATGTCGTGAATTGGCAGAAGTTAGAAATCATGGACTGGCCATTGGATAGGGTCCCAGTGCTTTAATGGTATACGAGTTCGCCTTTTAACCAGAAGGTCCTGGGTTTGAACCTCTTGTGGGGGTGCGTACTGCTGAAGAGTCCCAAACCAGGACGAAACAGCGGTCCAGTACTCTCAGGTTTTCCAATGGTTCTCTAACTGATGTCAGCTCACGATGAAATCCTGAAACCAAACAGATCCCTACAAACCACTTGAATTTCTTTTTTTTGTTATTGTAAATATCAGGATTATTGTATCACTTTGACTGACAGTTGAAATGTTACAACACCAAATTACAAATTAAAAGGAAATAAAATAGAAACAAATGAAAATAGACGAAAATATCTAATGAAAACAAAAGGATTAATATTTATGTTATTGGGAATAAAATAGTCCGCAATGAGGACACCAACAACAATAACTTCATACTTTGATTGGATACTAGATGGTAGGTAACTGGTGTCATACATCTAGTCCTTTGTTTAGTGCAGACTGAATTCCATCAGTCAAGTTTTGCAATGTGGTCATCGTGCTAAATAGCTAGACATCACGGTTAACTTTGAATTGTTGTTATTAGATGACTGGAGGTAATCTCCAGGAAGCACCGTGATGATGAGCCATCTAACATGGTGGCCACATTGCAAACTTAATTGATGGAATTCAGTCTGCATCAAATCAAGGACTGAACGCATCATACTGGTGACTAACTACTGTTCGGTCAAAAGTATCCAATACAGTCCTACAGGAGGTCAGTCACGAGCCTGAATTGCTCGGTGGTAACATCTCTGAATGCTGCACTGAGTAACATCGATTCAAATCTCCTTCATGATTGCAGATACGCCCTGCTGGTGACAGCCAACTAGCACGAAACCTAGGTGCAGGGTTTTCTGCCAATCACCCCCAACTTACTCACAAATAAACTAACTTCAGCTGATCTTAGTAGATAACACATTGCCTTTTTAGAAGTTTTCTTTTGAAAAGTACAAATACATTGATGTAATTCTCACTTACTATATTTGGTATTTCTACTTTAACCGTTTTTTAGAGTTCCTGGGGTTACCACTTTTGAGTAAGCAGATTAGTTACCACAGTTTATTGTAGTCTTATTTGATGTGTGTAATATATTTCACTGCTGAACAATATTTCAAAGGAAGGCGAAATCCACATAAGTTTGTTTTTTTGGTGGAAATCGTCTTCACTGCTTTGGACATCAAACAAAATAATGATGGAGTTTATATTACACAGTTTTTCAAAGCATTTTGAGTTCAATGAAAACAGGCTCTTATGATTAGGTGGTTGATACTACACCACATAGCAGATTTAACAGTACAAAGTTAAGTTTTTGGAAAAATAAGACATTTGAAGTCTGTGTACTGAATACCTTCCTAATCTTTTAAGCACATATTGTTCTTTACCTTTAGAATGTAAATCTGTACTCTCCGTCTAAAAATAACCGTTATTATTATCATTTTATTCCTTACCTCTCGGAGTGGAACGCATAGCCTCAAACTTTTCAGCCTTGCCATTTTGGTAGCAGTGATGTTGTTCTTTCTTTTTATTGGCTTAGATTTCTCGCCTCACGCCAACCTTCCCTATTTACTGCCAGCCAGATGACGTTTAGGAGTGCTTTGATCGGGGATCGAACCACACACCACATCGGTGGTTGACGCGCGTTTTACTACTGAATCTTCATCAACCTTTCTAAGTAATGTGATTTCTAGGAATAGAACTCAATTTTTTTTCTTTGTGATCACTTTTACGACAGTCACAGCAACAGTCGACCTATTTCGCCTTCTTGATATACAACTCTCTGAGGTTTGTTAAAAACGCAAGACGTTTGTAGAATCATTTTGTCCATTTCTATGATGATGAATAATACTTTACGCAGCAGGGAGTGATGTGTGGTTTACTCCAGAATGATCTACATTTTGATCCGAAGAGTATCTACCGTAGAACTCAAGAGCATTATGCAACATCGTATTTGGCAGCAGAGTTGGTTATTGGCAAATGCGTCTACCATACATTAGAATCACAATTTGACCATTTCTTCCATATTGGGTTTCTTTGTCTTCCTTTCATATTTCATAGGCATAGTTTATTTCTACTCAACGCCGTTAAATTCATCTCTCTGCTATTTGATATTCCTGCAGACGATATACATATTTTCTTGTCTATATACTACTTGAATATCTTGCCAGTAGCACACCCTCGATTTGCTGGTAAATGAACACCTGTTCAAAGAAACTAAGATAGATAACTCCTCATGAACACCTTGTATTTAGTAACAAATGGGACATTTTCGACATTATGATAACTGAAAGAGATGCGAGCCAAAATTCAAAGTAATTGGATATCTATTTGGCATAGATATGGACAGTAACTCTGTAAAGTGTTTTTCACTGACTAAGAAAATAAGTCTAATCTCTACAATTGTGACTAGCAACGATGTTCAGCGATATTCAAATGTACACTCACTACAGGAAATTCAAATTATATTAATGCTAAATGATTCATCCATCAAATTTATATGCAATTAGGGATGAAAGACTTTCTGTTAAGTACTAATTTAGTCCTAGTTGGTAGATTATAGTCCTGGACAAAATAATTTATATTGAGTAGTAGGTAGATTGATAGAAGTAGGGGACGCGCTATGTCGTGAATTGATAGAAGTTGGTATTCATAGGCCATTGGATCGGGTCCCTGTGGCTTGATGGTATACGAGGTCGCCATGTAATCAGAAGGTACTGGATTCGAATCCCTGTGGGTACGTGTTGATGAAGAGTCCTAAACTGGGACGAAACAGCTGTCCAGTACTCTCAGGTTTTCCAATGGTTATGTAACTAATAACAGCTCATGATGAAATCCTGTAACCAATCAAGTCCCTACAAACCAATACGTGAATAAAAATTATTCCTTAACAGTTAGACCTCATTGTTGGATGATAATTGAAGTCGCTAGTCGAACACAAAGGTCCAGTGCTATAAATATCATGAGAAGTTTTACCCATGTTAAATATCTCATTTTGGTATAAACTAAACATATCTGTCACTAAAAGTAACATTTTTAAATCATTTTTGCATAAAGTAAACATGAGGAAACTAATAAGAACAGGTGAGTCGAAATTTGTCGTTTAAAACAACTATATAATCGATAAAAATGTGTATCTTGACACTTTATGATGCATGTTTTATGAATAAATGTGTAAAAACTAATATAGGAACAGCACAATATGCATTGACACTCAAACAATACGAGAAACTAAAACCAAATTCGAATAAATCAGAAAAATTTGGCTTTAGTGAATCTCATAACTCACGAGAAAAAAAAGCAGAAACATAGTCATTGCAAAGGCTAATAAGGCCATCTCAATAGTAGTAATGAACAAGTTGGACTATATCATGAAAGTAAATGGACTCACTGAAGCCTGTCCATAACCTGTGGATACAATAATGTATAAGATCAAGAAGTTTACAGCAGATCTTGTACACCTAATGAAGACATCCCTGGGTGGATTCAAATAGGTCAATTTAATGCTTAATACTAATGATGCCAGTAGAATATACAGTATTATTTATTACCATATACAAACTAGGTCATTCTATCAGACCAGTTGTTGATTACAGAAATAGCACCACTTACGAATTATCAAATGCTTACTGTTAATATTGAGTCCCACTAGAAATACATTAATCTATAACTAATTTATTTGAAGTGGAAAAGAAACTACATGACATTTACTTGGACAATAGTGAAAAATTAGTTTGTTTTCATATAAATACTCTTTATACTAAGAAATCAAAGAGTATGGTTTTAGAAGCAGATAGACAAGAATTAATCACTCATCACTATTAGATGCAGCTTCACGCTGAGGAATTTATTCTGGGAATTCCACTGCGTCTCATGCTTAATGTCTTCAAATTCCAATAAAAAATATAAGAAAGATAGAATGTGTAGCAATAGGATTACCACAATTCCAAATAAGAGTGCATATCTATATAGAAATGTGGAAAAATGCGACTTAGGAATTTAGTCACATCATAGAGCTGAAAGCAAAGAATAGAACAAGGAAACAATAGAACAAAACTTTAGGATCTCCGAATATATTAATTTGGAAGAAGACGACAGTATAACAAAATTTGAGTTAGAAATTGACAACTAATAAACAATAAACATAGTACATGAAATATAAAAAAGAAGAAAAAGAAAATACAGCCGACAGGCATCAAAAGAAAGAAACCACTAAATAGCTAGCATGCAAAAATCAAAGCCTTCAATTTGAAATGTGCGAAAAAGGATTACATAATAATCGAAAAGAAAAAAATTAACTAAGGGTGTGCAAGTCGACTGAGGTTGCAGCAGTATGCAATATTTTTCAAGGGAATTATACAATCGTATATTTCTCAGCTTGACCAGTACTTGTTTTCCGTAAAGGGTTTCTGTGTATGGTGATGAAAGAGTAATTTGTCTTGATATTCGCTTGCATTTCAGCAAACCTGTTGAACACAATGCAAAACAGTAGGTTGATAGCTTTTGATTCGTTGCTCTACCATCTTTGATGCTTGTTTCAGTCTGAATGCATTGCGTGTGAAGAATTTATTTCAATGTTCTCTGAAATGTCTGGAAACAGCTTCATGCTGAAATCCACAGCGAAGTAAAGTCCAGTTATCCGTGGATCTTGTTGTTGATGTTATCCAGGGATATCAGTACTGTCGTAGGATAAGGCTCTATCAAATATTATTATTGGTTATGTGTTCATTGATAGCTGGTGACTGTGATAACACCTCCTTATCGAATTTTGTCCTATATGCCAAAATGTATGAAATTGTAAACATGTCCAGTTAAAATCACATCTGATAGAGTAAACACCACACTACAACTGTTTTTGTGTTCAGAGATTTTCAGTATCTTCATATGAATGGAGCGTGATTGTAGCGATAACTGTTCGCCATGACGATCCTAATAAATACTGTTATATCATATTATTTCGTAGGTATATTTTATCTAAAAGGCAGATATCATATTCAGTTCGGTCGATTCCCAACTCAAAAAGCACTGTAATCATAACAGCGTTCAAACCGGCTCATTTAAGTGACTAAAGAACCGAGCAATAACTCTAAGTAGTAAATCCGAAACGCCTAAGTGGTGAAATGAAACAAACAGAAAAAGATAAATATTGACCAGTAAACATTACATCATATTCATTGAGAAGGTCATATAAACTGATAGGAAAAGAGGAAAACGGTGAAAATATTGCCGACAATATTAATTACAAGGAGATTAAGCAGTCTACAGGTTTAGCATATGAGGAAGTAACATCTACAACCCTACGCAGTATTCTTCACTAACAAACAATTACCGAAGAATTGGAAATGTATAGATTCACTCAAGTATATGATCTGTAGGCTAGAGGACCCTGCTGATTCAGTTTCACAAAATATTACCAATCTACAACATAGCATTTCACCCAATGACAATGGGCCAAACCAGTAGATCCGGGATGGCGAGATTATCAGAAGATAGGCATCTAGTCAAATGTAGAGTGACTGAACTCAAGAAGATGAGCAGAGTGGAGAAGAACCCGACAATCACAATCCATCCACTGACACGAAGTCGAACAATAGGTTGGACGAGTACTTCAGCCACGAAACACAGTGTAGGTGGACGGAAGAAAACCTAGATCACTGAATCTTTGTTAATCGAATCTGTAGCCAGTAAGTGCAGGAGGAATGACTCAACACCAATATCACAGATAAAGAAAATATCGTTGCCAATGAAATCAAAGAATACAAAAATAGCAGAACAGCATGAACAAAATTTGAAAGTCATATGAATGATCTGACATGAGGAGTAAATTGTGCCTGAGACATCATCATCATCATCATCAATAAAATCAGTGATTCCGTGTCACTGTGTGTTATATCGGAAAACAGTATTCTCTGATCGGAGGTGAGACAGGTCAGCATCAGTGGCTGATTTAGAAACACCGAACAAATTAAATGATCTGTTCAGACACTGAGAAATTAATAACACTGCACCTCACATTTACAGCTAGCCATTCTCAACGCTTTCGAGCATCTCGCTTGAATGTATTTCACCACATGCACATCTCTTTCTCCTAAGTCATTATCCTCACCACTTAACTCTTCTTCTTCTTTCCCTACTCTAGAAACAATGGTCCATGCAAGCAGGGAAAGTAAGTGTGTGTGTGCGATGTAAGCTTGCTTCCAATGAGTGAACTGATTTCCTGAATCACTGAATCATTCACTGATTCCAGCACACATTTCGTAGCACACCATTTCTCGTGATATAATTAATAATTTCTTGACTTCGATTGAAAATGCACAATCTCGGGAGTGTTTCCTTTGAAGTTTCACAGAATTTCTGTGAATCACTGTCATTGTTGAATCAATGCAAGATTGTCCACCTCAAGCACCTCTCAATTTGTTAATCACTGTTGTTGACTAGTTGTGGTATTACAGCATCTTTCCTTTTCCACCATCTGTATTCCAGAGGAGGTGATAAATGTGAAATGAGAAAGTGAGTGGCTACTGTGAGCTTATTCACAGTGAATTCGTGTTTTGAGTGATTTGTTAGTTGCAGACTGTTTATTTTAGTATTAGGTATGTGAGGACTTGTTTGGTGGAGAATAATATCAGCATGTGTGTGTGTAGCAGCATAGTAGTGTCTCGCTTACTAATTTCACACAGAAAGAAAGTCTACGCTGAGGCTATCGACAACAGCCTTCAGTTCACAGATCATTAATTTTTGGAGTGTAGAGCGACTGAGAGTGAAGAAACAAACCAGAGGCGTTGAAATACTCTGAGAAATGGTGGCAAAAGTAAACAATTCGCACCACAGCCAAATTACCTTGAAATACTTAGTCATATCGCTCTGCATTTTCATGTATCATTTTCATAATCTTCATTGGAAGTTTCGCTTTTATTCAATGTTGGGATAAGGGCGGGATTCAAATAGGGTAAGAGTTAAGGTTAAGGTAATTGGGATATTTGAAATGACGATAATAGAGGGCATACATTTGAATAACTGAGCGATGTGACAGTTATCATCAGGTTATAGTAATCATAGAGTGAATCGCTCATTAAAATTAGTGCATTGTATAACCGGTACTCACACGAAATCCGTTGATGGATTTGTTGGCATATCTAAAAGAACTGATTACAATGATATTTGTCTATGACGACACTTGTGGAAGACTCGAACCTGTATTGGTTGCATATCAGACATATACCTACCCTATATCATTTACATTTACTGTGTACATATACAAATCCAGTAGGCATAATTTTTTATGCTGCAAATGGCACATTCTACCTAGAAGTACACTGACTATCTGGTACGAGGTCATTTCCCACTGGTATCTACACTTCGCCGAAATGGTCTGCAAGACATGTAGATTGGCTGGCGTAAATGCTCATTTGGTAATTCAGGAGCTTTAATATCACAGTTAGTCAGATTAGTCACACAGAACTAGACCAAATCACTTCGACGGAGCAAACATGGCGGTCTCTATCAATACCATTAGGCTTCATAAGTGGTACAGTTCACAGCACTACACAAAGTAACTTTGGTCAACTTGGCTTACTTAATAACGTTGCAGTAAGAAGCGGACATACTTCCAGTATTTCACCGTCAAATATATTCGACAGTCTATTGACCACGATCTCATGTTGTAATCCAGCCTGATCTCGCGGAATAATGCTGTTCTCACTTCTGACTAACAGTCTGTTATGTCAGCTAAGCTCGTAAGCGTGGTTGATTGATTATGCAGACAGCACCGATGGTGCCGATTCACAAGGTAAACTACACCGATTCACCTACCTATTGGTGTGCGAGTCGTCTGAGGTTGCAGCAGTATGCAATATTTTTCAAGGGAATTATACAATCGTATATTTCTCAGCTTGACCAGTACTTGTTTTCCGTAAAGGGTTTCTGTGTATGGTGATGAAAGAGTAATTTGTCTTGATATTCGCTTGCATTTCAGCAAACCTGTTGAACACAATGCAAAACAGTAGGTTGATAGCTTTTGATTCGTTGCTCTACCATCTTTGATGCTTGTTTCAGTCTGAATGCATTGCGTGTGAAGAATTTATTTCAATGTTCTCTGAAACGTCTGGAAACAGCTTCATGCTGAAATCCACAGCGAAGTAAAGTCCAGTTATCCGTGGATCTTGTTGTTGATGTTATCCAGGGATATCAGTATTGTCGTAGGATAAGGCTCTATCAAATATTATTATTGGTTATGTGTTCATTGATAGCTGGTGACTGTGATAACACCTCCTTATCGAATTTTGTCCTATATGCCAAAATGTATGAAATTGTAAACATGTCCAGTTAAAATCACATCTGATAGAGTAAACACCACACTACAACTGTTTTTGTGTTCAGAGATTTTCAGTATCTTCATATGAATGGAGCGTGATTGTAGCGATAACTGTTCGCCATGACGATCCTAATAAATACTGTTATATCATATTATTTCGTAGGTATATTTTATCTAAAAGGCAGATATCATATTCAGTTCGGTCGATTCCCAACTCAAAAAGCACTGTAATCATAACAGCGTTCAAACCGGCTCATTTAAGTGACTAAAGAACCGAGCAATAACTCTAAGTAGTAAACCCGAAACGCCTAAGTGGTGAAATGAAACAAATAGAAAAAGATAAATATTGACCAGTAAACATTACATCATATTCATTGAGAAGGTCATATAAACTGATAGGAAAAGAGGAAAACGGTGAAAATATTGCCGACAATATTAATTACAAGGAGATTAAGCAGTCTACAGGTTTAGCATATGAGGAAGTAACATCTACAACCCTACGCAGTATTCTTCACTAACAAACAATTACCGAAGAATTGGAAATGTACAGATTCACTCAAGTATATGATCTGTAGGCTAGAGGACCCTGCTGATTCAGTTTCACAAAATATTACCAATCTACAACATAGCATTTCACCCAATGACAATGGGCCAAACCAGTAGATCCGGGATGGCGAGATTATCAGAAGATAGGCATCTAGTCAAATGTAGAGTGACTGAACTCAAGAAGATGAGCAGAGTGGAGAAGAACCCGACAATCACAATCCATCCACTGACACGAAGTCGAACAATAGGTTGGACGAGTACTTCAGCCACGAAACACAGTGTAGGTGGACGGAAGAAAACCTAGATCACTGAATCTTTGTTAATCGAATCTGTAGCCAGTAAGTGCAGGAGGAATGACTCAACACCAATATCACAGATAAAGAAAATATCGTTGCCAATGAAATCAAAGAATACAAAAATAGCAGAACAGCATGAACAAAATTTGAAAGTCATATGAATGATCTGACATGAGGAGTAAATTGTGCCTGAGACATCATCATCATCATCATCAATAAAATCAGTGATTCCGTGTCACTGTGTGTTATATCGGAAAACAGTATTCTCTGATCGGAGGTGAGACAGGTCAGCATCAGTGGCTGATTTAGAAACACCGAACAAATTAAATGATCTGTTCAGACACTGAGAAATTAATAACACTGCACCTCACATTTACAGCTAGCCATTCTCAACGCTTTCGAGCATCTCGCTTGAATGTATTTCACCACATGCACATCTCTTTCTCCTAAGTCATTATCCTCACCACTTAACTCTTCTTCTTCTTTCCCTACTCTAGAAACAATGGTCCATGCAAGCAGGGAAAGTAAGTGTGTGTGTGCGATGTAAGCTTGCTTCCAATGAGTGAACTGATTTCCTGAATCACTGAATCATTCACTGATTCCAGCACACATTTCGTAGCACACCATTTCTCGTGATATAATTAATAATTTCTTGACTTCGATTGAAAATGCACAATCTCGGGAGTGTTTCCTTTGAAGTTTCACAGAATTTCTGTGAATCACTGTCATTGTTGAATCAATGCAAGATTGTCCACCTCAAGCACCTCTCAATTTGTTAATCACTGTTGTTGACTAGTTGTGGTATTACAGCATCTTTCCTTTTCCACCATCTGTATTCCAGAGGAGGTGATAAATGTGAAATGAGAAAGTGAGTGGCTACTGTGAGCTTATTCACAGTGAATTCGTGTTTTGAGTGATTTGTTAGTTGCAGACTGTTTATTTTAGTATTAGGTATGTGAGGACTTGTTTGGTGGAGAATAATATCAGCATGTGTGTGTGTAGCAGCATAGTAGTGTCTCGCTTACTAATTTCACACAGAAAGAAAGTCTACGCTGAGGCTATCGACAACAGCCTTCAGTTCACAGATCATTAATTTTTGGAGTGTAGAGCGACTGAGAGTGAAGAAACAAACCAGAGGCGTTGAAATACTCTGAGAAATGGTGGCAAAAGTAAACAATTCGCACCACAGCCAAATTACCTTGAAATACTTAGTCATATCGCTCTGCATTTTCATGTATCATTTTCATAATCTTCATTGGAAGTTTCGCTTTTATTCAATGTTGGGATAAGGGCGGGATTCAAATAGGGTAAGAGTTAAGGTTAAGGTAATTGGGATATTTGAAATGACGATAATAGAGGGCATACATTTGAATAACTGAGCGATGTGACAGTTATCATCAGGTTATAGTAATCATAGAGTGAATCGCTCATTAAAATTAGTGCATTGTATAACCGGTACTCACACGAAATCCGTTGATGGATTTGTTGGCATATCTAAAAGAACTGATTACAATGATATTTGTCTATGACGACACTTGTGGAAGACTCGAACCTGTATTGGTTGCATATCAGACATATACCTACCCTATATCATTTACATTTACTGTGTACATATACAAATCCAGTAGGCATAATTTTTTATGCTGCAAATGGCACATTCTACCTAGAAGTACACTGACTATCTGGTACGAGGTCATTTCCCACTGGTATCTACACTTCGCCGAAATGGTCTGCAAGACATGTAGATTGGCTGGCGTAAATGCTCATTTGGTAATTCAGGAGCTTTAATATCACAGTTAGTCAGATTAGTCACACAGAACTAGACCAAATCACTTCGACGGAGCAAACATGGCGGTCTCTATCAATACCATTAGGCTTCATAAGTGGTACAGTTCACAGCACTACACAAAGTAACTTTGGTCAACTTGGCTTACTTAATAACGTTGCAGTAAGAAGCGGACATACTTCCAGTATTTCACCGTCAAATATATTCGACAGTCTATTGACCACGATCTCATGTTGTAATCCAGCCTGATCTCGCGGAATAATGCTGTTCTCACTTCTGACTAACAGTCTGTTATGTCAGCTAAGCTCGTAAGCGTGGTTGATTGATTATGCAGACAGCACCGATGGTGCCGATTCACAAGGTAAACTACACCGATTCACCTACCTATTGGTGTGCGAGTCGTCTGAGGTTGCAGCAGTATGCAATATTTTTCAAGGGAATTATACAATCGTATATTTCTCAGCTTGACCAGTACTTGTTTTCCGTAAAGGGTTTCTGTGTATGGTGATGAAAGAGTAATTTGTCTTGATATTCGCTTGCATTTCAGCAAACCTGTTGAACACAATGCAAAACAGTAGGTTGATAGCTTTTGATTCGTTGCTCTACCATCTTTGATGCTTGTTTCAGTCTGAATGCATTGCGTGTGAAGAATTTATTTCAATGTTCTCTGAAATGTCTGGAAACAGCTTCATGCTGAAATCCACAGCGAAGTAAAGTCCAGTTATCCGTGGATCTTGTTGTTGATGTTATCCAGGGATATCAGTATTGTCGTAGGATAAGGCTCTATCAAATATTATTATTGGTTATGTGTTCATTGATAGCTGGTGACTGTGATAACACCTCCTTATCGAATTTTGTCCTATATGCCAAAATGTATGAAATTGTAAACATGTCCAGTTAAAATCACATCTGATAGAGTAAACACCACACTACAACTGTTTTTGTGTTCAGAGATTTTCAGTATCTTCATATGAATGGAGCGTGATTGTAGCGATAACTGTTCGCCATGACGATCCTAATAAATACTGTTATATCATATTATTTCGTAGGTATATTTTATCTAAAAGGCAGATATCATATTCAGTTCGGTCGATTCCCAACTCAAAAAGCACTGTAATCATAACAGCGTTCAAACCGGCTCATTTAAGTGACTAAAGAACCGAGCAATAACTCTAAGTAGTAAATCCGAAACGCCTAAGTGGTGAAATGAAACAAATAGAAAAAGATAAATATTGACCAGTAAACATTACATCATATTCATTGAGAAGGTCATATAAACTGATAGGAAAAGAGGAAAACGGTGAAAATATTGCCGACAATATTAATTACAAGGAGATTAAGCAGTCTACAGGTTTAGCATATGAGGAAGTAACATCTACAACCCTACGCAGTATTCTTCACTAACAAACAATTACCGAAGAATTGGAAATGTACAGATTCACTCAAGTATATGATCTGTAGGCTAGAGGACCCTGCTGATTCAGTTTCACAAAATATTACCAATCTACAACATAGCATTTCACCCAATGACAATGGGCCAAACCAGTAGATAGTGTGAGAAACACTACATTGACCAAACTGGACGTCCTCTTCGTCTTCGTATCCACGATCATAATCTGGCCGTCAAAATACAGGATATACACTGCCTCATTTCACTACACACAGACAACCACGGTCATCAATTCTACTGGGACAATGTTCAAATATTATACAAAGGAAATAACAAGAATGCTAGAGAATTTTAAGAAACTTGGCATTCCAGTGAATCTTCAATCAATAGACACATCGAGATAGACAAAATTTATCAACCAATAAGAAAGAAACTTCACACACAAAGTGTCAAATTTCAAGTCACAGAAACAATCAGTTCAACACAATTTACCTAGAAGGTGTGAAAACACATAAACAACCAATCACGTCCAATGTCACCAGGAGGAATGATTAATAAACTCGTGGAGAAAACTAAAAGCTTATTTCAAATTGAAGTATGCGATGAAGATATCACCCAGTAGGGCGATGAAAGCTTCGCAAAATAAGGATTCAGTTCAGAGAACAACACCACATCAAAAGTAGGTTGATAGCTTTTGATTCGTTGCTCTACCATCTTTGATGCTTGTTTCAGTCTGAATGCATTGCGTGTGAAGAATTTATTTCAATGTTCTCTGAAATGTCTGGAAACAGCTTCATGCTGAAATCCACAGCGAAGTGAAGTCCAGTTACCCGTGGATCTTTTTGTTCTTATCGTTGAAGCATATCCAAATTTTCACAGGATAATGCAGTATAAATATAATTGCTTATAGGATCATTTGAAGCTGGTAACTGTGTCAACATCCTCGTAATGAACAATGTACTATATGCGCAAATATATTAAAGTGTGAATTTGTGCAGGTTAAATCACAATCGAATTACTGAGCAGCACACTAAATGTGATAGTCGGAGGTGAGTGTCTACTGGAAGCTTATTCACACTGAATTCGTGTTCTGAATGATTTATTAATTTCAGACTGTTTGTTGTTGTATTAGATATTTGAGGATTTCTTTGTTGAGGAATAATATCATCATGTGTGTGTAGCAGCGTAATTGTATCCCGCTCACTAATTTCATGCAGAACTAAAATGTTTGTCGAGTCTACTCCGAATAGCTTTCACTTTGCAGATGATTATTTATATACTGGAAATTTTGTGATATCTTTCGACTAAACCATAGCCAGTTATAACTTTTCTCCATAATTATCTTAATGTTGATTTTTATATCATTTGATTTCGTCAGAATGTTTTGTTCAGTCATACGGCGTCATCTATGCATTTGACTTTTTGTTTAGAATGCCACATGTGTGTATTTGTGTGTGTATTAATTTTTTTGTTTCTGGTGTATGTTGTCTCCTTGACAGTCACTTGGAATATTTTTATGATTTAAATGAGTTTTCGTGGTTATGTATTTTGTTACAGATAAATTTAATTGTGATGCTATTCAATAGTTATTTTTTTCATTTCTAGCACAAATGAAATGCAAAATGAAGGTGCTCTAAATTCGTAAGTTACTGCCGTTGAATCAAGCACCCAGCTATCGTTATCTGTGTATTAAGACACTTTTCTTTAATTCCACTCTAAATTATAAATACGCAGTAATTTTAGAGGTGACAGATTTGTGGTCTTCGAGTTGAATGCTTTTATTTTGAAGGTTTGATTGTTTTTATAATCAACAGCTCCAGGTCTGACTTCCATATAAATAGATCATTTAGACTGCTCTATTAGCCTAAAAATCGTCTCTCCTGATGGCGTTGAACGTGTTTGGTTATAGTGGCAGATTTGTATGTACTTAATGTAGCCAAAACACTCTGCAACGCTACGGCTTTTAAGACGACAGAAGATAAATAGCTTACGACACTTACTGAGAAAAGTGGATACTGATTAATATTCATTAGAAGATTCCTACCGTCAGTACAGCCAAACAACTCAGAATAATCCACTGACAGAAAAAAGCAGAAGAAATTACCACAACTCTACTGGAAGCTTATGAAATATTTGTTGCCTACAAATCAACTGGACATTAGCACGTTTCTTCTTCCCGCTATGTGCATACACTAACTGTTGGTTTTTGCGTGTAAGTCTTCGAGTTTGTACGATATTAAACATAAGTCATCTTTGAAATCCAGATCATCTGGAGTCTTCTTATCGGTCCAACGCATTCTTATCTTCTCAATCCCTGTGGACAGTCTTCCACATAATCCACTCCACTACAATTACCTGTGATAGCAGGAAGCCTTGTGCTACTCCATTCTGTCTCCACTTCAATGGCTTCACTGAACTTTCCGTCTGGAATTACATGTCACGTAGCATTGCCATGTAGCTCTTGAATGGTATTGATAAAGATTTTGAGCATGGTGCTGAAAAGTGTTGAAGTAGCTTCTAAATTACTTCTCCATTAACGCTGTCGAAGACCTTTTCGAAGACGGTGAAGTTAAGGTACAGGTATGACTGCCATTCTCTGCTTTTTTGGATTATGATACTTAGAGTCTCGATTTGATCAGCATATAATTTGCCTTCTTCAGTTCAGTTTGCTGTCAAAGCTGGAGTTCTGCGTCGACTGCATCTTTAGTTCTCCCCAGGATGATGCGACTTATTATTTTACTTGTCGTGGACAAAAGCATTACTTCCCGCCAGTTCTTGAAGAGAAAGGCGTAGGTCGTCCTCGACAAGGTAACCAGCCTTTCTTCCGATCGGTAGACACCTTTCCTTCTTTCCAAACTTTTTGTTATAATGGCATGAGATCTTTTCTACTTCAGTTGCAGTCCAGTGTTCTGTAGAATTGCCTTCTGTTTTTCCTAGCACTCTTCATCTCTTTATTGAGTGCGACATACAGTTACCTCAATTTCTCCGTCTGTTTCCCATCTTTGCATTGACTAATTTCTCCTTCACGATCATCCTCCCTTCTATTGGCTTCTGGGTGGTGTCCATGAAGAGCAGTTGCTTGCCTATGCTCTTCTTTCTTCCTTAGATGGTTGTGTATGTTTCCTTGAACATCACCTTCGGAGAGTTTAGGTGTTCTATCACTAAGGTTTCCTCAGTGATGTGACGTAGTGTCTTCGAATTCGTGCTGATTGTTGTAGTGAAAGTGTCTTTTATAGTCTTGCCTTTCATTTTCTGACTGTTAAACATGAATTGTGGTCTGTCTGTAGTTGCTTTGAAGGCTTGCATTTTGATTTTGAAGGTTCCTTGAACTAGGTGATGGTCCAAGCCCACATTTGCTCCCTTTCTCGACTTTATTTCCAACAAATTGCGTCTCTGATACACTTAACAACATTGAGATGAAGCTCATCTGTTTTTCTTTTGTGAATCCATCATGTGAAATTCATATCACCTTGAGTATATCATTTTGCTTTTAAAAGTTTGTCAAATTTTTCAGTGTATCAGTTTTACACCCTCTAACATCTTCATTGCTGGTCACTATCGACTGTCTAGCTACACACATAAGCGTGCTTGTTAACATTACACAGCGTTTTCAGTATGCTTATGGATGAGTTTAATTTCACTGTTTCTGTCTCACTGGTGTAACCATCAACCACCATATCGCAGTTATTGTCAGTCTATTATTATAGCATTTCACTAAATGCAGATGCATATGACATGAGACAAATTATATAGTGAAGCAATTTCAGAATGAGACTCAAGACAATGGAGAACTTTGTGTTTGTACAAGCAGTATGCTAGCTAAGAAGTGTTAAAACTGTCAGTTATAGAAATCCGAACTATTAAATAAAAGTTTACAAACTGGTAGATGTGACAGTTAGCCAACCGTTAGATGAGTAGGTCAGGTTTATTCTGACTTATCCAAAAATATAAAAAAAAGTTACTTTTAGTATGTCTTTCTCTCAATTGGTAATATTTCTGAAGAATATGCTTTGCTTACACTGTTGAATGATACAAGTCTCAACAGTACTTAGATGATGACATTTAATGGCCTTCCAACCCGGTCAGTATTTTCAGTCAAAATTGTTACACGCCTTTACACCAATAATCTGTTATGTATTCCGATTCACAATGTAACCACAGTTACAGTATAGCTTTCTAACAGATACATTGCTTGAAAAGAAACATGACATGAATCGTAGCGCGTTTTACCCATGATACCTAATCGAGATGTAAAATGCGTTATTCCTGCCAACAACCTAGCTTCTTACCTCACTGTGTAGTATAAGGCGAAATGAACAACTGCTCATTTAAATGCATCTGGTTATGATGAAGTTAAATAATGTTGAGTTTTGTACTAACACGATGTGCGGTATATACCTGAGGAATAATTATTCAAAAGAGACACAAAATTTTGTTACATTAATCGCTAACATTTTCTTGTTAACTATCTCCGTGAATACCTCACGTGTAGCTTTCATACTGTTGAAATTTAAACACAACTATGTCAAGTTTATTATATTTTTGACCATTACTTCACATTGTTTTCCATCGTAAATCAATTCTCTAAGGATGTAAGTCATTTTCCTTATAAACAATGATGTTTATTATTGTGAATAATAATTTAGAAGATTTATCTAGAATTTTATGATTTGCTAAATAATTTCCGCCAGTTACGAATTTCATTTATTTGAAATTTATTATTTGATCTAATAGAAGTCATACTAACATTGTATGAATGTATGAAATCTGTCTTTAAAGTCCATATCTGCTGTCATTTGGTTACGTTCATGGAGGTTGAACGATTGGATTGGAAAGCGCATTTGTCATCACTTTCCTTTATTACAATACATAAAAACTATATTGATGCTTCCAATCTCCATTATTGGGAGAGATTTAACAGAGGTTACCTCCTTCACTTATCCTGCTAGGAAGGATCGTTTGAACTACAGGCACACGGCATGGACGAAGATGTCAACGCCAGCCAGAATTGGAAAGGCAAGATACGCCTTCATCAACCAGAAACCATTCTGGAAATCTCCTGCACTCAGCATTAGGAACAAAATTTGGATTTTGAACACCTGTGTCAAGTCAGTCGATCCTTCTATACGGGTCAGAAACTTGTACTGAGTGTCCCAAAAAACATTTCCAACAGATCATTTCAGATTTTATCAATAGAGCTGCCTTTGCTGGCTCCATGATGAGTATCAAAAGGCCAGAAAGAATTAGTGACAAGAAACTGTGGCTGGGTACAAACCAACCAAGAGCCAGTCGCTCAACAAATACATAGAAGAAAATGGAGATGGATCGGGCGTACATTAAAGAGACCGCCGAATGACATCACGACTAATTCGGGCCATCGCTCGAGTGGAATCCCAATGGGAAACGACGAGTGAGTCGTTCTGGAATTGCATGGATGAGATGGTGCGAGAAGAAGATGAGGGATTTAGGGCCATCATGGTCCAAACTGAAGAGGAAGGCAGAAACCAAATAGAGTGGAGATGTGTTTTTGAAGCCCTATGTTCCACTCGGAACGCAAGGGATTAATAATAATAAATAATATTGGTGCTCAGCAACAACACCTAAATATTTTAGTATGCTAGAATAGCTCCTTAAAACTTTCCCTGTTCACTAATACACATTATAAAGATATGCGATTATATGTGTTGGTAAATCAAACCTAAGCATACAAAATCACTTGGAAAATACCCCCCTTAGAAAGTCTTGGAGGAAAACGATATTCTTTTTGCAGTAAACGAAATTTTAGAACTTTTATTATGAAATCGATCAACCGATAGACCCTCAGATGATGTTAAGTCATTTTAGTAGTAGATGTAAAATATTATTTGTGATGTTTAATTCAAATTATTTCCAAACGGAGTCAATCAGTATTGGTAATACATGATGAAAAATTCAAAAGCACCGTAATTATTATGTTGTCAAACGGAATAAACGAAAAGTGCAATTCCATTAGGGAGAATACTGATTGTGATAAAGTTTCACAGTTTTCTGCTACGGAAAAAAAAATTACTGATGACTTTTTGAGTACAAGTTATTGCTCATAATCAAATCAAGGTACTCATACAACTTCCTGACTTAATTTATATACATGAGTGAAAAACTCATTAGATATATGAATCAGTATAATTATTATTATTGTTCCCTTGGGTTCCTAGTGGAACATTCAGCTACACGTCTTCACTTGCTTCTGTCTTCCTTCTGCTATACTTTTCACCTGCATCCATGTTGGTCCGAACTGTTTCAACTCCTCTTCACACGATCTCCTCTATGTCACCCACCCTTGCACTGACGTCCCACTCACCGCTTCCCTTTCAGCCTGGTTCCACTCGACCAATGGCCTGACGCGAGCGAGTTGTCACCCAGCGGCTCGGCCTCCTCAGCGAATGCCCAATCCATCTCCACTTTCTCCTGAATATTTGTTGGTTTGGCGATTAGTTCTTGTTTTGTTTGTTTGTTCCCATAGTTTCTTGCTGGTGATTCTTTCCTGCCTGGCCATCTGATCTTCAGTATAGAGCGAAGACAGTTGTTGGTTGATAAATGTCTGCAATAGCCTGTTGGAAATATTCTTTGTGACCCGCCCGCCCGCCGGCCAAGTTTCTGTTCTGATCCGTATAGAAGAACTGACTGACTTGACGTTTGTATTGAAAATCCGACCAAATTTTGTTGTTGATGCTTGAAACAAAAGGATGATAAAGTACATATGAAAATACTATTAGTGTAGCCAATATGATATAATACAATGAGAAATTAGACGAGTATTATTAGTCAGTCAGATGGGGGATAAGATATTTTATCAGTAAAATAAAATAAAACTTTTTAAAGTGTGATACAGTGAACTGCAATATAACAAATTTTAACACTGTTTCTTATTCTTTGATTTTGTTAGTAGTAATTTCTTCTATATCTCTGTTATTTATGCTAAGTCACTTCCATTGCATGTGTTGGGTGTAGACTCGATGAACCAGGCAGGATTCTATAATCAATCTCTCTCTCTCCAACTACCTTTATTATTTTTTAGAATTTTAACCCTCACCTACCCTACTGTATGGTTGTGTGTAAAGGTATGCAGTACGATTGATGAGTTTTCTTTTAAATTAACTATCTTCCTGGTATCTATCATTCTAAGCTTAGCTAAATTCATATGTTCTGACAATCCCACTACTCCTGATCTACTAGTTTCACCTATGAGGTTTACCTAGCTCACAGTCATTGCAAGGTGTTTTGTAAATTATATTACTTCGTCTAACTGGGTCCTCTGACATGGTCCTTTAACCTACAGAGTTCATCCCTGAGTGAGTTTGTAGGTTTGAACGCCACCCTAATTCCTGCTTTATTAAGAATCCTATGTAGGGTCTGTGATGTACCCTTCTACCATTTGATTATTGCCGTTCTGTATTGAAGTTTCAGCTGTCTTTAAAATAATTGTCAATAATTTGTAAATTATTATAAGCTGATAAAATCTACCATGGTTTTATCACGGTTTGTAAAAGAATCAACTGTGAATAAGTTAAAGGATACTAGTGAAGGGATCAAGCCAGATGATCACAAATTTATTTATTTTTCACTGAAAGCGGCCTGTTCAAGCCCCTGGGCTAACTAAATTTTATATCCACATAAATGCATCGTGTTTACTGCATTCCAGACTGTTGTAAACTGTACAATTATGCCTAAGAATCGCAATCCATACTGAGGCATATTTTCAAATAGGCGTCAATCTATTGCAACGGAGATTCCGAAAGAAATTGAGGAGGAACATTGTGGATAATTGGAGCATGCCTCAGATAAAACAATATGGCTTCAGTGTGTGTGTTATATTACTTGATGGTTGTGGAGAAGTAGTAAATGCCTTGCAAGAAGAAAGTTTATTAAAATTCTGCATAAACGCATTTTTCAGAATCGATTAAATGTTAGTACTAAGATTAAAAATGAATTCCGGTTAGACATTTTAAGAAGATCATCTTACTTTTAAATGTGCTAATCATTCACCTGATAGTAGATGGGATCTGTAATGTGTACACAGGCTTGGATTAATTTATGTTCGTTTTGAATGTAAACCTTGTAACTACTCACTACTAAATATGCTAGACAAATGAGTACACGACAAAAATTGTTACGTCATATATTTTTCGATTATGACATTTATCATTATTATAATTCCCTTAAGTTTTCAGTGAGACATAGGGATTCAGCAGCACATTTCAGCTTCACTCTTCTCTCTTCAGCTCTCTTCGGCTGGCTGCACGACTGCCCATAATCTGTCATCTCTTCTTCAAACAATCTCCTCAGTGTTACCCTCAGACATACGCCCCACTCTTCGTTTCCCATTCAGGTCCCACCTTAGTGATGGCCTCTCACGTGATGCCACTCACCAGTCTATCTGCACTTTCACCTACATGTTTGTTAAGCAAAAGTTCATGGTTGGTTCGTTTCTGGAGTTCCGTGATGCTAATCTTTTCTGGCGAGGCGATCTTCTCGACTCAGAGAAGTCAGTTGTTAATAAAAGTCTGAAGCCTATTTGAAATACTTTTCGTGACATATGCGCCTAGTCTTTGTACCATTTAGAAGTATCAACTTGATACTGGTGTTCAAGATCCTGATCTTGTTTCTTTTGCTGAATGAAGAAGAAATTCACACAGATTCCAGATTGATGAGGGTTTGGCTTGATTTTCCGATTTTGTCCGGCTTTGTAGTATTCATCCCTGCCTCCGGCCGTAGTTCAAACGATGCTACCTTGATAAGGCAATGAGGTGATTTCAGATTTCTCCCGGTGATAGTGACCGGTACTTGTTGCTGTTGTTGGTTAGGCGCCTTCATCACCACTGTCTCATTTATGTCCACTCGAAATCCTGTCTTCGCTACCTGTTAACTGTGAAAGTAGTGAAATTTTCCTCGCCTAATCTTGGTCTTTCTAAAGAATGCTCACATTAATAAGTCTTCTGATCTGTAACTCTTCTTGAGGCCAGTCCAATAACTATTAATAATGCCACATAAATTTTCTTTCGATATTTGTGATATAAGTAATACGTTTATACTACTCGTAAAATATACGTTTACTGAACATTGTAGAACTCCTAATGACATTTACTTTGAAATAAAAATAACGCTTGGTGAAAAGACATAGTAATCCTGTAGCAAATTATGGACTTTTACACAATACAAAATAAGAACACCTGTTTGTTCTTTAATAACTTCAGTTTGAGAATATCCAGCACAGAATGTGTAGGATAGACAATAAAGATTTCAGCTTACACATAATCTTTTTTTCACAAGTTCACAGATGTCACATCTTATCCCTTAAATGCTTAATTCACACAGTGTACTTCATTCGCAAATACTTTGATCCGTTCTGTAAAGAACTTAGTTTTGTGTGCTACTTGAATACACTTCAACAGACTTCAAGCATTTTCCTTCAAAGATGAATTCACATTTCACTAGCTTGACTTCCTACTTCTTTGATGTATGACAACAACAATCAGCGTTAATGTAATCATCAACAGTTTCATTGTTTCTTCTTGTCAAATCACACTGATTAACTTGATGTAAAGTGACATATCTGTGATCAAACTTATAGTCTAAAAAATTGTTTCGGTAACATATAAAAGATTTACAACTTCAGTATTATGATCAATAATTTGAGTACTTAATTCTACATTAATTAATTGAATATTGTAAATTATAGTCCCTGCCTTATTTAGCGGGAAACCTATGCTATTTAATTTCATATTAAAGTTTTGTGGTCGATAAACCACTGTAAGTTGAACTTGATTTTGTTGATAACATATTAAATTTTTATTGTTATTTAAGACGAATTTAGTGAGTATAGAGTCGATTCTGTACAAGTTGATTCATCCCAAAAACAATGTTGAGAATGCAATGGCATTTCTGAAAACTATATTTGTCGAAAATCTCAATGAAACTGAAATGAGTAATTCCAACTTTTCTTTGGGTGAACTGGTCCAAACGTCTTCAGAACATTTATTGTCTTTTAAAACTTCCACCAATCATATGAGTCATGAAACAGGCTTCAAAATATAAGAAACAAAATTGCATGAACTGTGGTCGAAATTTGATCTCATACTTACAAATATTACAAATATGCGTCGGTGGCACAGTGGTTAGGACTCACGCCGACCATGCACATGGTCCGAGGTTCGATGTCCTGCCGACAGCCACCTGATATCTATGGTCGGCCTCCGAAATTTGAACTACCGTTATCCATGCTGAAAATTCCATACATGTACCAAAAATACAGTGTGGAATCAAGCTGTAATCAAAAATAAAAAAGTAGAAATAGTCTACATTCGCTAATTTCCATGAAGAAGTACGGACCAGTTTGTCTACTTCTCACTTGGAGATTGATTATTTTTGAACAATCCCGTCAAATTTTGATCATAGTTCCTATGAATTATTTTGACCTTCAACATGTCCTTCTAACTTGACCTAAGTTTATTTTCTCACCTCTTAACTCCTTATTAATTTCATATGTATCCCTATGACAAGTTCGTGTTTGACAGTATTGTTCGAGATGTGTTGCTCAGATACATTGCACGATTCAGACAAATTAAATCTCCCAATAATAATTTCTTGTGAAAGAATCATGCTACTAGATAGAATAAAGTAATACCACTAAAAAACAAAACAATTCCAAAAGTCGGCGTGAACACAGGCTCCAAATATTACCAATAACAAAATTTATCATTGTGTACAAACCATTGAAATATAACTGTACTCTATTTCATTGATTCCACAATGCTCAAACTTTTTACTGATATTACAATAATACACATTTTAAGAGAGACACTGTACCAGTATAAAACATCCAATACTATACAGCAATATTTCCTTCAATATATGAAAGATTAGTAAATGAAAATTACTTTTGGTGCATTACATAGAATACCATTGTGGCTAACTAGGTAAGTTTTATACCTCAGTATATAGAGTTTGAAATAAAGAGTTTAGCAAAAAGTTCTATTTACATATTTTAACTCCGAAATTGTACCGTTATTTACAGAGGGTTATGTATACAATACTAGTTGACAACAGAGGTCAGAGGTTATTGCCATTTAGAAGCAAAATAGATCAACAACGTGTAGGCACAATAACAATGTTTCAGCAGTGCAAATAATCTTGTATAATCTAGAGTTCTGACAAGTAATTGATTGAGTCACTGGCACAGTGGTTAGGGTGCTCACCCAACGTGCTCATGACCCGGGGTTCAACTCCTGGCCGACGCACACCTGATATCAATAGTCGGTCTGCTACATTCGGACTACCCATATCACATACTGAAAAGTTCACGCTTGCACCAAAAAAAACTATGCGGAGTCAAACTATGACGACCATTTGGAGATAATCGCTAGCAAACAAGATAACAAAAGTATTGAAAATGCGTTACAAATAGGAAAAAAATAAAAATAATTAAATGGAGTTAATTGCACACGAATCCAAGAAGGCAAAATCATCACTAAGGCCACGCTATTAAAAGAAACTGGATAAAATGTTTTAGAACACAAAGTTCAGTTTTTCCTTTATGGATTACTGAACCTTCGAATGCATGAAGAAAGTGTAAGTGAAATCCTTTTGAACGGCTTCATTGTTCTTCATATATGACTCTGAATAAAGTCGCTGTTGATGATGCTTTGCCAGAAGTAATGATGTACTACAATACTCAGCTGTTGACTGTTTTACTTTCTTTTTTTGGCGACCATGCTGGTTAGTATTCATCGGTGTATCAAGACATTAAGAATTTGGAATTAATAAGAGCTGGACGAACTTCTAATTAAACTGAAGTGACTAAGCGTATATCGAGAATGTTAGGAATTGACTCTAGTACTTTATCAAGATATGTGACAGGGAAAGGATAGTCAAATCTTCCAATAATAATGAAACTTTTAAGTATATCCTTGGATCAGAAGGCTACAACCAGTGGGATTGATGACGACTAGAGCTGAACTGAAAATCTTCGTAGGGGACTACTAGCTCAACAACCGAGTAGTCAGGCCATGTGAACTACATATGGTGGGAAGGTTATTTCAAGGTTCAAGATTAGCCAAACTATCCATATATGATTATTTGTAGTATAATTCTTCACTACGTAATCCATAATCAATATTCATTTTTTTGCCAGAAGGTTATATACATAGGCAGCTTGGACGTCACTATTTTGTTCTTCTGATATACAACGTGAAATTTAACAAAAGTGTCTTTTTAAAAAGAATATAATTTTTTTTTGAGTAAATTCTCAATCCTTTCAACGTGTGAAAATTACATTTAAACAGCCCAATGTATTTCGTTTGTGAGTAAGTTAAGAACTACACTTTTGCGTTTTTACACTTAACTTATAAAAATATCTATAAAATTTCTTAGTGAAACAAACTTTGGCAAGCGAGAAGACAGGCGTAAGTTGTTTGTTAAGAAGGCTTTAGAAGATCTCTACTTCGTGGACAATTCACGCTGAATTAATGTTACGAAGATCTACAGATGAAAAACCAAAGGGTCGGTAGAAGAAGCAGCGAAGACAGAAATGATGAAGATGACCAAACACCAGCAACGGATGAAGATGTCAAAGTCAATGAGAGGCAAGACAAACCCTCATTAGTCTACAGTCACTGAGGAAATCTGCTCCACTCAGCATAAGACCTTCAACCTTAATATTTAGTCAATTCTTCAGGTTCAGAAACTTCACTCGTCACGAAAAGCATTACAAACAGGCCACTGAAGCATTTTATCAATAGATATCTTCGCCACCTCAATATTGAAAATCAGATAGGCAAAAAAAGATGAAAAATATGGTGCCTAGGCAACAAAACCAAGCACGAACCCATAGCCCAGGAAATATGACGAAAAATTCCAGATGGGTAGAGCATACTCTGAGAAGATCGTTGAGTAACGTCGCGTGCTAGTCCCTAGAGTTAAAGTTAAGGGTGTCTCCGAAGATGACATGGAGGAGAATGTGTGAGAAGGAGATGAGAGCTTGTGAACAATTATGAACCCAGTCAAGGATGGCTTCAGAGGACGGAATGAAATGGCTGTGGGTGTGCTGTTGAAGCTGTGTGTTCCATTCACAAACTAAGAGAATATCACTATCAACTTTTAGATGTTTTAACACTCTAAGTAGTTCATTTGGTGAATCACATAGTCATTATTTTCAAAAGCAGTAAAACACATACAATCGACTATAGACAATACTATGAGATAAGGTAATCGTTAAAATATATGCAACAATTGTAAAAGGTAGATTATGACCTATTTATTAGAACTTTATGTTGTTGTATTCTTTCGCTTAAATGACTTATTTAACTCTGAAGCTTTCATTGTTCTTTCAAACAATGCGTTCAGTACTGTCAGCTTCCATCTGAGAAGAGAATCTCCTAAATCATCTCGAATGTTTCTTAATTTTCTTAACAGTTAGATGTTGATTTAGTGCTCATTGCAATCACCAACACTTTCGTCTTAAGATTTAACATAAAACAGCTTCATACAAGCAATGGAACCATGTAAGGTAACCTATAATGTACTAATAGATATGAGACAGTGTTACGAATAGTCAGTCCTTTTTTATTACAATCACATTTGATTGGAATAATTATATCAGGGAGACATTGCTATTCAAGAAAAAAGAAGAATTCATCACAATCACTGGATGAATCGCGCTTTTAAGTTAGCGGAAAATTATTCTAATTATTTTTTTCTAAAGTATTCATTTTATCACCTGATTACAGGAAAATCTTTCAATTCTTTGCATGTAAGTTTACGGTGCAATCTTTTATCCTAATTAAACTTTTACCATAGCAAGACATTGAAACTTAGCAGTCATTATCTAGATCTTGCAAAATGTGAATTATTTCTTTTAATTTTCATAATAAGCTGACATCAGTTGGAGAACCATGGAGTACTGAACAGCTGTTCCATTCTACTTCGGGAATCATCAGCAGTGCATAGCTACCGGGTTCCGAACTCAGGACTTCCTCGTTACGAGATAAGCCCGTAAGCCATTCATACACTGGGGGACTCGACTCAAATGGCCCACGGATTCCAACTTCTATCAGTTCGTGATTTTATCACCCAACCACTAGCTAATGTCATCTGTTAGTATTTATCCTCAACATCCAAGATGGTGGGCTCCATTACTCACAACCTCTCACTAGACCTCTAGGCAACTTCTTGGTATAGCCAGTCACTAGCGAATACCAGATTAATTACTGAGAGTTAGTTAATAGGGATTTGATTTCTTTTGTTAAATGTAACAAGCTATAAAACTAGGAGCCTATTCTTTTCTATACATTCCACTTTGATATTTCACTAAAAACATGAACTGTGTTTACTATCTTGATTATAATTGATAACATAATGTATTAGATGGTTACAGGCAATCGGTCGGAAGCCTCGGATGTGGGTTTTGTACTATTCAAGGAGGTTAACGGCAAGTCTGAATAGATCATTGGTAAGGTCTGTGACTGGAGCACTGGTTGATGCGGGTTGAGATCTCACAAGGGGCATGAGTTCCTTCAAGGCTACAGATACGTCATGCTGATGAGTGCCGCTTAGCACGAAATCTAGGTCCGAGGCTTCCTGTCAATTGCCGCCAATCATCTAATACCAACAACTCACGGTGCACCGTAATGGCGAACCTCCTGGCAAGGTGGCCACATTGCAAACTTGACTGTGAGAATTCAGTATTCACCAAAGATAAGACTAGACACATTACGCTAGTTACTGACTAGGGTCCAATCAAAAAGAACTGGAATGGGCATGTTGATTTGGCTGAGAAAATCTAATCGTGGTTTCTACATACGTATATATATATATATATATATATATATATAGGTAAAGCGTTTTGAAGGACATTACAAACAATAGGTATTATATTAACTCTAAGAAAAAACTCATTAAATAAGGAGCATTTTTACCATGGAATGATAGAGAGAGGTATCTGGCTTTCTTTCTATGAGCTGTAGCAGTGAATGAAGGACTTTGCAAGAGTAGATCAGGACTCCTTTACAAGATGACTGATATGGTTATAAAAATCTGTGAATGGGAATCAGTCACAATGGATAGTATCAAATCTGCCCCTTGAGTAGTATAAACCTTTTTCATATCACAATATTGCACAGATGT